AGGATTGGCTGGTCCCATTCATCACCAGGTGCTGGGCCAGCACCCCACAGCCATAATCGCCCTCCCACTGCATCCCCACACCAGTGCTTGTGACTCAAGAGTTATATCTGTTTTACTGAAGAATGAACTGAGTCTTCGATTTAAAGAACCCAACCAAGTGGCAGAGCCGGTATTGAACTCAACTAGAAAGAAACAGAGCTGGGATCCCTGGATGGCTCAGCGGTTTAGCGCCTGCCTTCTGCCCAGGGCATGATCCTGGGGACCCGGGATCTAGTCCCACATCAGGCTCCCTGCATGGAGCCTGCTTCTCCCTCTGCCTGTGCCCCTGCCTCTGTGTGTGTGTCTCTCTCATGAATAAATAAATAAGAATCTATTTAAAAAAAAAAAAAAAAAAACAGAGCCAAGACACAATCTCACATCTTTCTAGCCCAGAGTATATTTCTGGGGGTTTTAGCCCAAATACTCTTTGTACTCTAAGAAAGATGTTTCTCCGTGATATAAGTCAAAGGCCACCAGACCTTACATTTCTTGAGGCCAAGAACTGTGTCTTATCTTCTGAACCTCTGGGCCCTGGTTTCAAGCAATTGCCCCATGAGCATACATAGGGGAAATCTTTCCACTCTGTGGGAATGAATCTGCTTCCCCGACTGGACATGACCTTCAGGAAAACAGGTGCATGTATTGATTATCAAGACCTCCAGCCCCACCATCCCTCATCCTGCCCCAGCCCAGCTCAGGAAGTGCCAGATGAATTGTTGAATGGAAGTCTTCTTAGCAAAAGACTGCCAAAGGCCCAGCCTTTTGAACTCACATAAGAAACAGCAGTCAGTGTAGCCACATTTTGATCCAGCCAGGAAACTGAGGATAACATACAACGGGATTTCCATGCAAAGTGCCTGGACCTGGCCCTCACTGTTCTCTGCTCCTTCGGATTTAAGGCTCTTCTGGTTTTGCCTTGACCTACTCCAGTGGTGGAAAGATCACTGGATCCAGAGTTGAGGCCTGAGGCCCACTCCCAGCACTCCCCATGACAGCTAGGGCCCACGAGTGGGTCTCTTTATCTCTCTGCGGTCTGTTTCCTTACCCACAGGTGGACATTCTTCTTGCCACTAGGTCCATGGGAAGAAATGAACAAGCTGGTACCTGCCCTGGACTATTGGCTAGGGTACAGAGAAGAATGAGAGCAGGGCTTCCACCCTCAGGAAGTGGGTGGTGGAGGGGGTGGAGACTTTCAAGTGTCCTGGCCAGATCTACAGCCACCCCAGGCCCCACTCATACCATCATAGCCCCCACTTTCAATTAATCCCCAATTCAGCTTCCAGGCACTGGGCCCACGTTCTAGAAAATGATGTGTTGAGTCGATCCTTCCCTAGCTGCTTTCTTCACTTTTTTTTCCCCACCCAAATCACCACTAGTCAGTCACCCCTGTGTCCTCTTCTAATTGTCCCCAGAGTACTTGGTTCTATCCAGCCTGTGTCTTCAGCTGCCATCCCACCCCAGCAGGCTTGGGAAGCTCTTGGAGGGGTGTGTCCACTGGTGCCTGGCCCTGTGAGAAGTGCCGTATACCCCAGCGCTGAGGCCCTAGCATATGTACCACATTACCCTTTCATAGTGTCTTTAAATCCCCCTGACTTATTCTGCTAGCTTCTAGGTTGGGTGTGATCAAGAGTCCGCTTTCTTCCCACCATCTATAAATTCAGTTGCAAAAGAACCAGCACTTCCTGGTGACAGTCAAAGGAAAATAAGCTAATTATGAAATCTAGAAAACTAACCTTTTTTGAGTCTCTATATGCGCCAGAAAGTTTAAGCCAAAAATCATTTGCTGAGCACGTCTTATGTACCAGTACTTTACTAGACCCCAGGATAAACAGAGAAATGAGATGAAGAGGCTGAGAATGACGTTGGTAAGGAAGGGCAGGGAAGGCCTCCTGGGGGAGGTGGTGCTTCAGCTAGACCTCAGAGGACAAATAAGAGCCACCCAGGGTGAGACAAGAGGAAATGGGAAGGTGTTTCAGGCAAAGGGACTAACATGGAAGCACAAGAACACATGAAGCCCTCCGGGAGAGCTGGAGGGTGGCCTGGGTTGGATAGGGGCAGTGGGGCAGCAGGGAGACTGGCGGAAGCACCACAGAGGGGCCCAGCGCCTGGAGGGCTTTGGACACTTCAGGTGGCATGATCCAGGGGATATTAGCAGCTAGTATAGGGAAAGTGACTCTGGGTTCAAATAAATTAGAAAAATAGGTTATATAAGAAGAAAAGTTAATCGTGTTTCGCCTGTTTAAGGTGGGTTTTTATTGCAAGACTTGGCAGCCTTTGCTGTGCTAACTTGCGTTGTGAATCTCCAAAAGGAGTGAAGCAGGAGACAGCATTTCCCAGACTCATCAGGCTGGGGAACCCCCTTTTCTTCCTTCACACAATGCGTCTCTCAGGATGCACTAGGAGATGCTCCACTGAGATGACTTAAGCTGGCGAGTGACACAACTGGGCGTGTATTAAGTCCACTCTGGAGCAAGCGTGGAGATGGATGGGGAGGGGAGAGGTTGGAGAGGGGAGCCTGCTAACAGTGATCATTGCTAACATCTCCTGACACTCTGTGGGAAGATCGTGGCCCACATGGTCTCACTGAATCTTCGTGGCAGCCCCCTTGGGTGGGGGTGGGGCGGCTGTTACCTACGTTTGCAGATGAGGAACAGAAGGCTCAGATGGTTAAATCCCGGGCCTGTAGAAATCCAAAGGGTTGGGGAAGCTGAGATTCAGTCCAAGACTATCTGACCCCAGCGGCCGCCCCCTGAGTGCTCCACCACCCCCACCAGCAGAGCTGGAAATAGCTTGCTCAGAGGCGATGAGCCGTGAGGACTGTGGATTGGAGAACGGGTCACCCAGCAGAGAGTGGCCAGAAACAAATGAAGGAGGGGCGTTGTGTGACGGTGCAGGGGGAGGGAGGCATGGATGAGGCAGCAGCCTGTGCACAGTATAGGCGGATCCTCTCTCCCTGTCCTTTTACTTTCCCCCACTGAGCAGTGTGAGCTGGGGGACTCCATTCCTTTTTGCCCCATACTTACCCTGTAAACCTGAAGGAGAGGAAATAGGGTTCCGTGGGTTGCCATGCTTATCTCATTGAATGGCATCGCCACTCCCCAGGTGGCCTCCAACTGAAGGCAGATCTTTGAGCATGGTTTGGCCCACACTGCCAACTAACAGCACAGGACCCTAGAGGCCAACCCCCCTGCCCGGTGTACCTCCATCCACACATGTCCCGGGTGTGCTATGAGGAACACCCAATCCTCTACCAAGTCCTTCTGCCAACTCTCCCCTTAAGCCACCCTGCCTGACCCTGTGCTAGACACCAGGCATCCAGGGATGCCTGAGATGAGATATGGCTCCTCCTCTCCAGGAGTTGGGTACAGAGAGTGAGTTCCGAGGTATGTCTGGTATCTAAACAATCACTCCAACCAAGTGAGGCTCTAAAGCCCTGTCCAAGAGAAACGGCAGGAGGCTCACATGCAAATTACATGTGGAATTCAAAATGTTTTGGTCACTACATTAAAAAGGTAAAAAAGAGACATGAAATTCATTTTATTTTATTTTATTAAAGATTTTATTTATTTATTCATGAGATACAGAGGGAGAGAGAGAGAGGGGCAGAGACACAGGCAGAGGGAGGAGCAGGCTCCATGCAGGGAGCCCGACATGGGACTCGATCACGGGACTCCAGGATCATGCCCTGGGCTGAAGGCAGGCGCTTAACCGCTGAGCCACCCAGGGATCCCGAAATTCATTTTAATAATACTTATTTAACCAAATAGCCTAAATATTTTCATTCCAGCATGGAATCAATATAAAAAATTGTTCAGATGTTTTACATACTTGTTTCAAACCAAGTCTCTGAAATCCAGTGTGTATTTTATGCCTACAGCACGTCTTACTACAAACTCACCACATGTGACCATTGGCTGCTGAAGTGGGCAGTAAGGGTCTAGACTTTGTCAGATAATATACTTTTGTGGACAGTGTGGCTGAATGGGGAGGAACCAACCAGAAGCCTCTCGGGGTTTATGGAAGGTCCGGGGTCTTGGTCTAGCATGGGTACTTACTTTCCTTACTCTGCCTCACCATCTGCCCCACCAGGGTATTGATGTGGGCAGGCCATTGAAAGGACAAAGCTTGACTTTTCAAAATAAAGGGTTGGAGGATAGAGCCAAGAAGCCTGTGCTCTGTTGGTGTTTTATTCAAATCCTGATTTCAAAAGCCAAGCGTTTTGTATAGTTTTGTTTGTTCATCATTTATTTTGCAGAAATTTTTTTCCAAGGAACTAGGATGAGTCCCCCAAGGAAATGAACATTTGAAAGTGCAGGGAGCCAGTGAGAGGGAGACACGGGGTGATGAGTCCCACATAGCGGGGAGCACCGTACAGTGGGAGCACTGCAGGCAGCATCTGACCCACTATCTTGAATAACAAGTAGACATTTGCCAGGCAGCTTGGCACAAGGGAAGTCATGCCGCCTTGAGGGGCAGGCAAGAAAACAAGGCATGAGAGCCGGGGGCCATTTGAGGGTCTGCCCAGGTGAGCAAGGATGAAGGTTAGGAGGGGTCTGTGTGGGGCACAAGAGCCCAGGTCTTGGACGACTTGGAAGGCCAGGCCAGAGCCTTGTAGCCTTGTTGCACGGTCACCCAAGGAGACAGGACAGCAGAGGTCTGGAGGCTGGGGTGCAAAGGGCCACGCTGTGTTTTAGAAGCTTACCCCGACCTGTGTGGAGGCTGGCTGGAGAAGAGCCAGGCGGAAATCCTGCTGGGAGATGATTACGGTGATCCAGGCCTCAGAAATTCACGTGCAGGACCCAGTGCCCAGTTGACATGGGGGTGAGAGAGCGGGAGGCATCGAGGACGTTCCTCGGGTTTCCAGCTTGGGTAACTGAGTGTTTCCTCTTGTGCGCCATGTGTGTAAGATGCATCAAACCACCTCCACATGTACTGATGTTTTAAGTTTCACTTTAACGCAGCCACAAAGACTCCGTCCTACTCGCCTGCCACCTCCCAAGATACAGCGCTCGAGGCCCGTGAGTAGCCGGTGGTTGTGCCCTCCCACCTAACACTGCCTGAACCATCCTCCCCGCCTCACTAAACCTCAGGAGTTTGGACTAAGCTGCCTGGCAAAACAAAACCGGGAATTGGGTTTTTCAGCTTCCCTCTCTGCGTGGCATGAACCCAAACTTGCATTTTCTGGGCTTCTCTCTCCTTTTCCTGGACTGGTTTGGCGACTTGCAGGTCAGAGCTGTAGGTAGCCACAAACCACTATGCGGTGTGTTTGCCGTGTGCGCATCCTTTGAGCACGTCTCCTAGATTGAGTCCTGTTCTGGCCAATGAGCTTTGAAGTCTAGCTCCAGCAGCCTCTCCCTCACAAAGGAAGCAGAAGCCTGGCAGCAGGGGTCTCGTTCCCACCAGATCTGGGTTTGGAAAAGCATTTGATGTCCCTTGGCGAGGGCAAAGGCTACACCCAGAGAATCTTAGGCTGGCTCTGGCAGAGGCAGGCCTCGTGTGGAACTCCACTTTCCCCAGTGAGGTGCCAAGTCAGGGCATAAAAAAAGCAGGACGACATGCGACAACCCCCCCCCCCCCCACCGCAATACCTGGAAATGGGGCGGGCAAGGCAGAGAGACTGATCTGAGGTTTTTTGGGACAAATGCCATGGAAAAATACGGGGTATGGGGCCCCGTTTTCCTTGGAAAGTCAGCTCTCGGTCATGCCAAGGTATAACCACTGTAACAGGATCCTTGAAAGTGGGAGACTTGCCAGGACCATTTGGTGAGGGCTTTTTATCGAGAAGAGAATTTCTCTGTCTTGTTCAAAGCAACCACAGCTCCTACAGCCCAGCAAAAGGGGTCAGGTTCCTGTCCAGCCTTGATCAGCGTTCCCGCAAACTCATGTCCCAATCCCTGCCCTTCCCCTTTACCAATGCACAAGTCCACATCCATCCTATGACACGTGGCCATCGAATGGCACAGGTGGCCAGGCCCCACAGTGCCCATGCCCAGCATCGATTGGGTGGCTGCCGTCAGTGTGGATGCTAGAAAATTCTGTGGCACTGTTTTCCTTTCCTTCCCTCCTGTGTGTGGGAGTTGGAGGGCAGGGGAAGTTGGCAAGGATTTAGATACCTTCACCTACAGTTCCTGCCACAGACAAGATCCCTCCCGGACCCAGTCAAACCATGATTAGGCCAAACCTGATCAGCACGGCTGTGGAGGGGCTGCTGGGGTGTTTCTGCTCACTGTCAGTGGAAGGAAGGCATGGCAGAAAGAAATGGCTTTGTGGGACAGGAAGTCCCTTCTGGGTTCAACCTTGTGTGAATTAGTGAGAGCTGCAGTAGAGGCGTGAGCGTGCTAATTTGCGGAAGTAGGCAGAGCTAAGCTTGGGGACCAGGGCTGTGTGACTTGTGGGCGAGTACTGAAGCTCTGAGCCTCGCCTCTCTCCAGCGTGTCCTCACCCAGAGCCTTTGACAGAGGGAACGGAGGTGACCCCTGTAAAGCACCAAAGACGGTGCCTGGCACACAGCAGTGCTTCTTACTCTTCTTAATGAGTTTTTAAACCTTACAACTTCTAAGGAATGACTCTATTTCTGAGTGACTATCATTTGCCTGGGATCCTTTATAGTCAGCAAGTCATCCCCGCTGGGTCTCATAGTAACTCTATGAAGTAAGCATCATCTCCACCCATTTTAGAGACAAGAAAATTAATGCTTGGTAACTTAACTCAAGTCCCTCAAGTGCAGATAGGAGTCATCAGACATGAGAACCCATGGTCTTTCCAGCATCCTGAGCTCCCAGGACCCTCTATCTGCATTTCCATGGAATGTGTTGTATAAAATACTGGGGCAGTAGGGCGCCTGGGTGGCTCGCTCAGTCAGTTAAGGTGTCCACCTCTTGATCTCAGCTCTGGTCATCACCCCAGAGTTGTGAGATTGAGCCCCCACATAGGGCTTTGTGCTGGGCATGGAGTCTGCTTTAGATTCTCTGTCTCTCTCCCTCTCCCTCCATACCTCCTCTCTCTCTCTCTCTAAAAAAAAATAATTTCCCTCTCAAAATAAATCTTTTTTTTTTAAGAAAGGTGGGGGAGGGGCAGCTGTGTGGCTCATTTGGTTAAGCATCTGACTCTTGATTTCAACTCAAGCCCTGATCTCAGGGTTGTGAGATCGAGCCCTGCATCTGCCTCCATGCTCTGTGGGGAGTCTCCTTGAGATTCTCTCTCTTCCTCTGCACCTCCCCCACTCACAGTCATACACGCACTGTATCAAAATAAATAAAATCTTTAAAAATAATAATTTTAAAAAAAATTTAGCTTTTAAAAAAATAAATAATAACAATAATTGCAATTAGGGGATCCCTGGGTGGCTCAGTGGTTTAGCTCCTGCCTTTGGCCCAGGGCGTGGTCCTGGGGTCCCAGGATCGAGTCCCACATCAGGCTCCCTACCTGTATCTTTGCCTCTCTCTCTCTCTCTCTCTCTCTCTCTCTCTCATGAATAAATAAGTAAAGTCTTAAATAATAATAATAATAATAGTAATTAACAACCAGCTAGGCTTCCTATGGAATCTCTAGGGCAGTATTGGGGCTTGGCAAGGATACAGAGGTGAAGAGAATTAACATTTACTGGGAACCTTTTCTGTGCCTAGGACTGTGCTGGGCACTTACATAATTATGGTCTCCTTTGTCCCTACAGTAAGTAGCCCAGAGGAGGCAGAGGCTATTTCCCCAGCTTACAGCCAAGACCACAGAGATAAGAGGCCAATCTGGCCTTGGAGCCCAGGCCTGTCCCTCCTTAAGCCAGAGGGTTGCTCTCAGAATTTCATGTAGAGACCTAGGGTCAAGGCAGGCAGGGGCCCTCTTGCAAAGCATGATCCGGGGCAGGATTGTTCACCTTACAAAAACTCAGGTATTGGAGACAGCTAAGTGGACTCACCGCGTTTTCTCACCATTGTGGGGACTTGTGCAGACCAGGGGAGCCCCAGCCACACCCACTGGCATCTGAGTACTTGGGAAGGCAGACATGGCCTTGAGAAAAGCCCAAGTAGCATTTGCCTGTGTCACCACACTAGTGCAGGAGGCTACCAGCCTGGTACTTGGTGCTGTACCTGCCCTGGGTTATGGTGCATTCATGAGGCAGAGTGCCTAGCAGAACTGGTTTTCCTGGGCTTGGAAGTCAGAGAGGCCTGCCCTGATTTGAAACACAGGTTAGCATGTATGACTTTGAACAAGACATTTAATTTCTCTGAGTCTCAATTTCATCATCTGTGAAATGGGTTTAGTAACACTGCCTGGTGAGTAGTGGAGTCACATGTGTGTAGTGCCTGGCACGAAGTAGCACATATACCCTACTCCTGTCACCCCAAACACCATCTGCCAAGCAGGGTCACTATGGGACTAAATTGGGAGTCCTGGAAGGTGTGTGCTCTCTGGGCTGAGCAGTGCCCTGTGCCCCCGAGTGTGTTAACTCTGAGTCCGCTCATGTCAACCCACTGTCCACTAGGGATGAATCTGGGAGATGTGGGGCATGGAATCCCTCAAGGGCCTTGAAAAGAATGACCTGACCAGCGCTTGTGTCAGGAGCCTCTGGCCCCCAGCTGGGCTTTATTGGGTACTTAGCCACAAACGTCTGGGCAGGATTGGGGCTGTTGGCCCAGGGTGGCAGGAACATGGGGGTAGCCATTCAGCCTTTCTGGAAGGAGCTTTGTAGCCCGGCACCTGTGGCTGGAGTTTAGATGTTACCAAAGGATTTAGATTTTCTTTTCAAAAAGAAGAAAAAGAAAAGAGCAGAAGAAAGCCTTGCCAGTGTCTGGTGGACTAAGGGGAGCGGGTTGGGGCGCACAGGGGAGAGGCAGGCTGTGGTCGGCCGCATGTGAAGTGCTTTATAAGCTCTGTATTTATTATTTCTTGCTCACCATTAAAATCAAATGTACTCGGTGCTTTTGTATTCAATACACATTTAACCCTGCCGACTTAGATTTCTCAGGTTTTAAATCCAGTGGGGGATTGGCTGGTTTCCCAACTTTCCTCGCAAGTCCCCCTTGAACAGAGCTCAAAATCCCTGTTTAGCATTTTCTCCCCTGGTGCTGCTGGGATCCCAGCACTGGTGGGGCTAGTCGTTGTGTATGCGTGCGGTTTCTCCCCTAGCCCCAGCCCCAGCCCCCACCCCTCATAAGCACCCCCAAAAGATGGGTGTGATTGCTGAAATGTGACGGGCCAGTTGTCGGCACCGTCCTGTGATTCGGGCTTCATTAAACCATTTTGTCTGTGTGTGTGCCGGAGCCTGCTTGGGGCTTTAGCTGACCGTCTGCAGCCGTGCGTGTGCGTGTGCGTGTGCGTGTGAGAGAGAGAGAGAGAGAGAGAGAGATTCGTGCACGTACCTTCGACTCCTGTGCGTGCCTCAGTGAGTGTGTTTGTGTGACTGTGTGAATGTCGGCGCCGTGAGGTCTGTGAGTGTCTCTGGATGGGTGTCTGCAGCATTGTGTGCCTGGCTTTGTCCACAGCAGTCAGGTGTGTGTGACTCCGGGCGTGTCTGTAGCTGTGCAGGTGACTGACTGTGTCTGGGTGTGTTGTGCCTTCCTCTCTCCCCTGCCTCCCTGCCTCCCTGCTCCCCTCCCCCAGGCCTCTCCCTGCTCTGTTTTATCATCCCTAATGAAGCAGTCTTCTCCATCGATCCTGCTGATTGCCAACCCATTCCTTTTGTTTGTTGGCGCTGAGCCATTCGGCGGCACTCTGACAGCTCAGCTCGTCTAATTAGCTCTGTTGTTCTTTTTCTCCATGTTTCACCACGTTGCAAGTTCAGTTGAAGTTGCCACAAACTTAATCCCCCCCATTTCAGCCACAAGTTCACATTCCTCACCCGCCTTTATTGTAGCGAGGAGCAGCCGTGTGCAGGGACAGGCTGACAGGCCTTAATATCTGACCTTTCCTGAAACCCCCACCCCAGGACCTCCAGGGCAGGGCAGAGCTGCTCTGTCAGCCCACACTGCACATCTGCATTTGTGGTGAAAAGCCTGGGGGAGCGTTGCGACCCTGCGACCCTGTTGAGCAGCAGCAGCGACAGGGAGAGGGGTCTGGCTGTGGTCAGGGAGACTGGCTCAGAGTTTGAATGCCGGCGATCTAGCCATCCATTCACTCAGCAATGGTGACCGGATGTCTGCTTTGTAGCAGGCACTGTTATAACGACGCTGATGATAATGGCAACATTATTGGGCACTTCTTAGATTCTGAGCAGCCACATTTCATTTGTTCCTAAAGGTCTTGCTGGGTGACAGCTGTAAGACCAGGCACTGAGCAGGTTACTAGGCAAGGGTCAGGTCATCTTAGATGGCATCTTCTAATCAGAGATACCACATCCCTGTCTTCTTTTTGTTATCAATAAGGTCACAGAGAAGCCCCAATATGTGCCAGACTCCTTGCTGGCACTTTCCCTACACCATCTCATTGGATGTTTATTCAGAGGAGCCTCGTGCAAGAAGACCACAAGTTTGGTGGAATGCATTTGGCTGCTACTGCATCTCTGATTTGCCAAACAAGGCTGAGATCAGACTGGCCATTCCACAGGAAAAACTTTGGTTAGAGCAGATGTGTGGAGACCTGAGAACTTGATGAGACTCTGTAAAGACTTGCCTTTTGTGCAGCCAACTTCTGTAATCTGTATTCCTCAGCCGCTGTGCTGTGTCGCCCACAAGTTGCTGTGGGGTGGGGCTTCAGGGGAGAGGGCTGGCAGTAACTGGAGCATGTGTGTGCTCTCCTTCCCTGTCTTGTCTGAGAACCTCAGCGATGGTGGCATTTCATCTACTTTGGTCCCTCATCCGCAGAGACAGAGCAAGCCCCCTGCACTGGAATGTCCAGGCATATTTATTGGCAACAGAAGTCATGGCCAGACTTTCTCAGTTTAGCTCTTTCCAGTCCCTCTCTGGGGTTGGAAAAGCTCAGAGATGATGGTGCCAAATTTTAAGGCATGTAATGTTGATTAGACCAGACAAGTATCCTTCTAAGGACACCTAGAAATTTTTAGCCTAACGCACATCATAAGCCCTTGGGGGGGGTATCTTTTTCCTGTGGGCCCCCTTCTTGGCTTTCAGAGGGAACAGATCAGGGGGGAAAAAAACATCTTGCTGCAGGCCAGCTGCGGATTAGGAAGTTGTATACTTCACTGTCAAGTACACCCACCACTGACCCTCAAACTGGGTCCATGTGTATGCAGGAGCTCCGTGGGGTATGTGTATCCAGGCTGAGCCCACCTGGGAGGTCTGCCCAGGAAGGCCTGGGCAACAGAAAGATGATTTTTGTTGGCACTCTTTAATGCTATCATTTGCTTTATTCCCCCATCCTACTCAGGAAAATAAGCATCCTGTAATTCAGTTGCAAAAAAGAATGAAATAAGCACATGCACCCTAGAAATAAAGTCCAAATGAAATCTTTTTGTTCTGCCAAACCAGTTGCAGGGACCTAGAAGAAGGCAACTGGGGACTTATCATAAATGAGGGCCTCTGTGTTCTGGGTCCCATATGGGCATTGTCTCGTTGAGCTCCCGTGGTAGCCCTGCCAAAACTCACATGATGCTGTCCCCTACTTGCAAGCTCTTCAAGAGGACCTTTGCCATTTGAGTAGGCCACGGAATTCCAGGTCATGTGTCTGCTGCAAATTCAGGGGCAATGTTCTCACAGTAAGCAGAGCTTTTGTAGCCTGTACCATGCCCATGCCTCCACATTTATTTGGGGGCTGCTTAGGTAGATCTGCAGATCTGTATGGCTTTCCTGTATGGCTTTTCCAACTGACTCCCTGGGGACTTCCCCCTGTACCCATTCTAGGTGCGCCCTCCCCGTCCACATGTCGTGAAGAGACCGAAGAGCAACATCACGGTGGAAGGCCGGAGGACTTCTATCTCCAGCCCTGAGCAGTGAGTGCCCCTTTGCTTCCCTTCCTTCTGTCTGCCAGAGCCCAGGGGGCCAGGCCTTTGTGGGGTCCTTGCTGCAACCCTGGCCTTTGAAAGGCTTCCTGGAGCCCCAAGTGGGTGTTTCAACAAAGAGGTAGTTGGGGAGCTGGGCTTGATCTTTTATGTTGGCTCTTGCTAGCAGTTGTCACACCAGCAGGAAGCCCAGAGGCCAGGGAGCCAGGCATCTGGGCTGGGTTTTGAGTGGTGACACCCAAAGTGGATTCCAATAGGCTCAGAAGAAGGGTCCCAGCCTGGGTCCGCAGGGAGGAGCAAGGACCCTGGTCAAGGAGACGATATATTTAACAAAGGCCACCACTCTCCTAAGCCTGGGGTGCTTGAGGTCTCTAGAACTTGGATTTATACCCAGAACTGACCTTATCCACTGTCCCACCCCCACCGGTACCTTTGCTCCCCTGTGCCATGGCATTTATTTATTTTATTAGGGCTTGGCTTTCCCACTTCCCGTCAGGCCCAGAGCTCTGTGGGCAGGCACTGGGTGTTCTACCCGGAAGCTAGCATAGGGCCCTGCTCAGAGTCACATGCAGGAGAGATGCGGGATCAAGGAGGTAACTAATGAGGTAAATGGAAGAGCAACACCTAGAGATGGAGCTGCCCAAGTGGTGTGAGACTTAGAGCTGCACGCAGCCCCAAGTCCAGAACCGTCTGGAGGGCCTCCCTTTGTCCCCAAGGCCCATAGCTCTGGGGCTCTGCCCAGACAGCTCAGCAGCTACACACTGGCTTCCTGGGAGGCTTTGAAAAAGTACACAAAATCATCTCGGTCTCAGGTTTGTTAGGGGAACCAAACCAGCTGCCTCAGGAACCCTGATGTCCCTTGGGTGATGAGAGGAATGCTCCTCCTGTCTGCTCTACTTTCAGAAGAGTGGTCAGGGAAAGAAGCTAAGGGAAATGGCAGGCTCTAGCCAGAAAAGGAGCCAAAAGGAAGAAACAGTTCTGACACACCAAGCTGTGGCCTATCCCGGGCTGCGGTATACTTCAGCTCCTCTAGGATACTCTGGTTTACAGTACAGCAGCACTTGATACCACTGTGTTGTTTCAGAACCAGCCTACCTAGGCCTACTTAAACCTTGCCCAGAAAGCTATGGGAGACTGTGAGTGTGTGTGTGCGTGTGCGTGTGCGTGTGTTCATGCACACATGTCTTGAAAGATGCTTGGTTTTGCAAAATTTGGAAGAGAGGACTTCTGAAGTTGGTTGTAGGTATAACTTAGCCTCTGCACAATAGGACAGTGGGAATATTAAGGACTAGGTCTCTGGCCATGACTGGCATGGATTATGATTGCCCCCTTGTGGAGAAAATGCTGTGTAGCTTCAGAGCTCCTCGGAACCTAAAGCTTTTTCTTTAGGGAAGGATGAAATTAGTTACTTGTCTTTAAAACTGGGCAAAATCTTTTAGACACTGTACTGGGATACAGGGCCATGGGCCTGTGGATATTGAAATGCAAACCCAGAACATCCTTGTATTGCACAAGAGCATCCCAGATCAGCGACACTCCCATGTTTTACTGAAAAGCATTTCCCACATTGTGTCCAGGTCACTGATTAGAGGTTGGAATTCCTAATTGTGTTTATTTACGCCATCACTCTCCCATCCCAGTGATAGGGGATGCCCCTTCAGTACATGCCAAAAAGCCAGTGTCTGCTAATCCTGTCATCCTGGTTGTTAGCAGAATTGTGCCCATATCACTTTTCATTTCTTTTTGCGATATGCCTCGTTTTAGATTTCTATTCAGGAAACATTTGGGGTTGAAACAAACCAGTGGGAACATGGGAGCTAGTTTAGTGGGTTGGCAAACTGGCAGTGATAGAAAACAAATGACAGCTTCTCTGTGGCCATAGCTCACAGCCGCTCCAGCCCTCCAGGTGATAAAGAAGTACATTTTGGGATATTATTCTAAGAGTTTCTGTTCACAGTTTTTTTTTTTTAATTTTTTTTTAATTTTTATTTATTTATGATAGTCACAGAGAGAGAAAGAGAGAGAGGCAGAGACATAGGCAGAGGGAGAAGCAGGCTCCATGCACCAGGAGCCCGACGTGGGATTCGATCCCAGGTCTCCAGGATCGCGCCCTGGGCCAAAGGCAGGCGCCAAACCGCTGCGCCACCCAGGGATCCCTGTTCACAGTTTTTAATGGGGGGGGGGGTCGCTGTTCTCCCGTAATACCAGTGACATGTCTGGTGCAACTGGGGCATTTTCCCGCATCTCCTCACATGCTGCCCACCCCCCCACCAGTAGTGCTCCTCCACTTCCAAATGCCATGTCACAACAGCACTTGGATGTGTTTTTCTCAACTGTCATCAGCTCCAGCTGGCAAGACCAAGTTCTTGAAACACAGGAAGCATCCAGCGGAAAATATTTTAATAAAACAGACTCCTCATAAAATATTGTTCTGGGGGGAAAGAAACCAGCTCCACCAATCTGTCAGCATTGTGTTGGGAGACACGAGAAGACAAGCCGGCAGGCAGGAGCCAGATCCTAATGGGCCTTTGTTGCGGGTGGTTCCGTGTGGGGCACATCGACTCCGTGCCTGGCCCTTTAATCTGGCCTGGATTTTCTGGACTCACGGATCTTTGTCCCCGCTGGGAATATCAAAGTACATTGGCAATTTAGGGGGTTTGGACAGCAGAAAGAGATACAAGATCTTTGAAGTGTAGGGAGGGGTTCCGCCCTCCCGACTTCTCACCCCAACTCTCACTTCCAAAAAGCACATTAAATAATTAACTTTGTGGACAGCAGGATGGAGCTGATTAACAATAAGACAGTCTCTGTGGCCTCACGCAGCCGCTTGACGTCTGGAATTCATCAAGGCCCAGTAGCATCGGCTGCCAGCTCTGTGGCCGGCCCCTCTGCTGGATCCAGTTCTTCCTTTCCAGATGATGTCCATCTGTCCATTCATGCAGCCATTCATTCTGCAGATAGCTTTAAAAACCAACCAGGTGTGAGCTATTTGGGATTTTTAAGAGGAAGCCTTTAAAGAGAAGCACCCCTCCATTCTGACTCTTTTTGACTTGCTTTTTCCCCAAAACAAAACTTCTCCAATATCAGCTGTCCTTTCCAAAACAAAGGCGGATGTCCTCACCCCTTAAAACCATCTGATGACAATTGAAAAAAACACTTCAGAAAGCTTTCTGGGGAAGCCATTCCCTGTGTTTTTCAGCTTACACTAGCTAATTAATATTCAGTGACTATTTCTCCTCAAGAAGTACTAGCTACTTGCATTATTATTCTGAACGGGCTGCTGAAATGCCCTGCAGATTCCCCAGGGTGAGAACTAGGGCTAGGAGGGGTCAGGCAGCATGGGCTGGAGGTCCGGGGCCACCTAACAGCAAGTACAGTCGAGCCCCTCTTGTGTTCTAGGTCCTCTTCGGCTGGTGTTTGTTTCTTTCACCAAATGGGAACTTGGGCTCAGAAAATATATTTGACCAGTGTTCCCAGGTCAACCAGTTAGAAGGTGGCAGGGCCAGGACTCCAGATGCTGCTTGATTTCATTCTCTCAATGGCACTCTGCTGCCCACAGGGGTCCCTGGTCAGTTTGGCTTTGCTTAGGGAGATGGTTCTGAGCCCTGTTTCCTAAGACGGCTTGCTCCACACACCACCCTTCTTCTCTGGTTCCTTGAAGTTGGGAACTGGAACTGATCAGACCTCCTCCTGGCAAAGAAAGTGTCCCCTGGTGCCTGAGTGTTTCTACCTTAGGGAAGGAAAAACAAGCAACATTGACTGAACATCCTATGAGATTGTGAAGGGTAGATGGTGGCTTTCCCACCTAAGAGAGAAACTGAGGCTCAGAGGGAGACTTGCTAATAGAACTAGCCCAAGGTCTGAACTAGAAAGTGGTAGGCCTGACACAGGCCTCACCCCTCTTCCAGACCATCCAGGCTTTTTGTTGAGAACCTAAGTGTGACCATGAGCTACTCTGAGTGATGGGGATAGTGGAGACAGCACGGCGGGTCATGGCGAGGTTCACACCTCCCACCCATTAAAGGTCATTTCAGCTGTAGTGTGTGTGGCTGTCAGGCCCCAACGTATTTTCCCCTTGGCCTACCAGGTGTAAGAGAATTTCCCATCAAATGTGATGCTTAGAAGGAGCCGACAGCAAACTCTAGAAGGCAGCCCTGTGCTCAGTACTGCTCACCTGCTGGTCCCCAGGTGCCCCTCTCTACCAGGCTGCCCATCATTTGTTCCCTGCAGTGGGGACTGGGCAGTAGCCCTCACAGAGTGGCAGAGGGTACAGACCGGACGTGGTTACAGACAGCCTCCAACTTGGTTGTTACAACAGCCCAGAAAGGCAGGGCTGTCTTCTGAGTCTTAATAGCCAAGAGGCTGGCAGTCAGTACAGCTCGGGGATGCACCCAGTGCTGGCCAGCTGCAGAGCCTGAACTCTCGAGTGTACGCCTCTGTCTCCCCTCCAGCTGGTGAGCCCCCAAACACCCTCATGGGAGTCCTGATGGGCCACAGGCTGTTTATTTGATGTTTTGAGGTACTAAGTAGGAGTGCTCCAGATTCAGGCACCAAGGGCCCACAAGCCATTGCCCTGCTCACCTCGCTGGCCAGATTTGTACAAAATCTCCTCTTTTCAAAACCATTTCATTTGTCTGTAAAAGTAACCCAACAACCTTATAATCGGGAAGTTTGGGAAGAGACAAGTTCATTCTGAACCTCACAGCTTACTGGCATTTCTGCAATTCCCCTCTGGTGTTTGTCCTATATATATTTTGCAGAACCGCAGCTTCCTTGCAATATTCCATCCTGTGGACTTGCCCCACGTCCTCAAAACCCCCGTTCACAACTATGGCAAGATCCTATTTTGTGTACATGCCTGGTCCATGTCACCACACCCCTCGTAGTAGATTTATAGATTGTTCTAGGCATTCACTAACATGAAATGCCAGAATAAATACCCTTGGTCTTAAAGCTTTTCTCATTTGACATCATTGTAAGAAATGGAATGATTAACAACTACCAGTAGCCAAGAACTGCCTGCTAAGCACTTTACAATCACCATTTCATTTAATCCTTGCAAGAAATCTGAGGGAGTGGGTATCATTAGCTTGATTTTATAGAAGTAGCTGAGACCCTGAGAGGTTGTCACTGCCCTGTACTAGGGGCAGATTTCTGCTCCATATTGCTAAACAACTTGCTAAAAGATTTGTACCACTTTACACTCCTGCCAAAACTCTGGACTCCCTGCCAATCTGGGTCTGGGGGACCTAGGGGAACATGCATGAGAAATCCTTCTGACCAAGGAGAAATTCTGCAGGTTGCACTGGCTGCACAAAGACCGTCTGTGCACCAAACTGCCAGCCCACACCACTTAGGGATGACAGAGTCTCATCATCCAAATTGCACCATGTGACCCCAGCACCCAAAGCCCCAGAGGATTAAAATAAGATCAGAAGAAGCTGCCAGAAGCATTTAGTGAGAGCTCTGCCCAAAGAGAGGTCTCAAAACACTGCAATTGTATCTCCTCAGGCCAATCTCCTCAGGCCAGTTGCACTCATGCTCTGGCAAACAATGATGTGCTGCTCCCTCCACCTCCTCGAGAGCTGGGCTGGGCACAGCCTCCCTGGTGCTGGCCCTGGATCACAACAGGCAGGGGTAGAGCTCTAGCACCCAACAGAGCTGGGTCAGCATCCTGCCACCAGCTGCCAGCCAGAGACCCTGGGCAAGACTCTTTGCCCTCTTTCTTGCAACACAATGCCTGTTCACATCCCAAAGAGTGAAATTCAGGAAGCTCCCCACAGGAGCCACACTCACACTCAGGCTGGCAGGGTACATCAGTCTCCCCTCCTGCAGCAACACTATCAGCCATCTGGTGCTCACCCTGCTGCCTCCCCATGAGCTGCACCCTCCCCTCTCCTCCCTTCCCCAGGCCCACAATCCCCTGGCTTCCCCCTATACAGTGCTGACCTGCCATGTATCACACACAGGTGCTCACGCACACATACACCCCAGGAGCCAGAGAGTGCTTCCAGGCCCAGCCCACCATGTGCCCTTCAGCTTTGACTCCAACTCCTGGATCAGATCTAGGCCAGACCTCCGCTCGGGATGTTTACTGAATGAACAAACAAGGGAATCACTGAAGGCAGGCTGAAACTTCTAGCCCAGCACCCTGGAGATGGGGGAGGGGTGTCAAGTAACACAGATGTGTAAAGAGCACCTACTATGTGCCAGGTGTGATTGGGATGTGATTGTGAGGCTACCAGCACCTCCCCTACCTGGGCCATCAGAGTCAGAAACTGCCATCAGCCCCAGGAGCAAGTCTCCAAGATGCCAGCTGGGCCCAGGGCCCCAGGGGTAGAGACAGCTGTCTGGGTACTACCTACTGGCAGCCTGCAAGGACCCACTCCCTGAGCAGCTAAGAGTCCAAACATCAGAGCAGAAGGTCCCAAACCCAATTAGCAATGTGAGAGGCCCCCGACCCCACTCCGGCCCCCATCCCCACTCCCAACAGGGGGTTTTGGGCCCTGGAGACAAAGCCACACCAGGAGCCAGACATGGAGTCTGAGCCCAGACTGGAAAAGCAGGAACTGCCAAGGAGTCTCCAGGGATGTGCAGCAGCCCAGGAAAACACAGGTCTCCCTCATCCCCGGCCATTTGTGCCTCCCACTTGGAGGGAAGGACATCTCCCAGGAGCTGTCATAACAGGAGTTAGTGCCAGCTGAGAAACCAAGCCTTCAGCATGCCCTGAGAAAAGGTGCCCCACCCTCAAGACTTGCCGGTGTCAGCCTTCTCTGAAAACTTTGCCACCTCACCTGAGCCGTTCCCTCTTCCAGGCGCCTTGCTGCCATTTCTCAGCAGCTGTTTCAGGCCCAGCACTGCCAGTGTGTCACCTTGGTTAACCTCCCCCACTCCCCAGAAGTATTCACAGTGCAAGCGTGTTAGCCTGTCCAGCCATGAAGGAACCAAGGCTCTAACAGCTGGAATGATCTGCCTTGGGTCAAGAATGTACACCTGGGTCTGCAGGGTCCCACACCCACATCCACTGCTCTCTCAGCAGACACCTTGCCCTCCACCACTGCTCCCATGGTCCCCACCAAAGACTGAGACTCCTGGCAGGCAAAGGCCATCTTCAGGTGAGGGGCAGTTCCTCACAATCTACACAATTTCTCTTCTGGGTAGGAAAAGCGTGGAAGGTGTTCCCATCCCCCTCTTCCCTCTTCCAATGAGCCTAGAAAGTGGGAAAGTGGGGTGAAGCCCGTGTTCTGTGTTTAGACCTCTCTATCTGGGAGAGTGCCCACCCAGTGGGCCTAGGAAGGACTTCTCAGGATGTCTGGGGCATGGGTGTGGACATGTGAAACTGACACTAGTGACTTTTTGAAAGAAGGAATGAATGAATGAGCATAAGGTTGATAAATAGTCAAATAGGCAGACTAATGAAGATCGGAAAGGCAAAGGGCACAGCCAACCTGAGGGAGAGATGGGGCCAAGCCAGTAAGGCCCCCTTCTGCCTCCCCAGCCGCACCCCCCCCCCGTATCACCCCCTCACCACTCCTGTTGCCTCAGTCCTTGTGCAGATTCAAGACCCTCCACCACCTGGTCCTCATAGACTCTTTTCTTGACCCTCCTACCCTGACGTCAAGACCCCTGTGCCCACTGCTCCCAGAGACATGCCAAGCCATCCCGCAGCCTCCTCCCTACTCACGATTGAACGCCTGGTTCCCACACCTTCCGAGAGCCATGCAGACCCCCCACCACTGCCCTCTGGCAGAGCAAGTCCCCCATGGGGTGAGAAAAACCTGATCTCACACCCACCTGTTCCCACAAGACCAGTTCGCTTGACAGGAAGAACACTCTCTCATTGGTGATCATGACTCATTACAGCAGTGATCCTCTCTCTTCTTGTTTTAAAGTAGATACATACAACTGAGTGGAAAGATCCAGTGTCCCACAGGTTCTGTATCTGTGTCCAGTTCTTTCTCCCTGAGAATGGTCCCAGCCATACACAGTGCAGTTTCAGAGCTTGAAACTTGGGTCTTGTACCAAGCTGGTTTCCCCCAAAGACCATTCTGACTTGCTTTGGAGCTTTGTTGTATTGTTTTAACCAATGTACATGCTCAGATGTGGTCTGGAGTCCTGGCCCTGTGTTGTGGTGATGGAGAGATGGTGTGACCAGGTCCCCAGGTGGTTCTCCCAGGTAGTTCCGATGTGCTATGGCAGGCCCAACTGGAGGGCCGGAGGGTTTTTGAAGGCAGGAACCAACTTATATTCATCCTTGAATACCTAGAGAAGATCCTGCACAGGATGGAAATGCCCAGAATCTACTTGTCAGCAGGTGAATGTGGTGTATGGATAGTAATTGAATATGTACTGTGTGCTGGGCATTAGGCAAAGCCCTTTATGAATAATTTCATTCGACTTTGTGATAACACTGTCAGAAAGGCTGTAGAATCCCCATTTTACAGATAAGAAATTAGGTGCAGGGCAGCCCCCGTGGCGCAGCGGTTTAGCGCCACCTGCAGCCCGGGGTGTGATCCTGGAGACCCGGGATCGAGTCCCACATCAGGCTTGTTGCATGGAGCCTGCTTCTCCCTCTGCCTGTGTCTCTGCCTCTGTCTCTCTCTCTCTCTCTCTCTCTGTATCTCTATGAATAAATAAATAAAATCTTTAAAAAAAAGAAAAGAAAAGAAAAGAAAAGAGAAAAGAAATTAGGTGCAGGGAGGTAAAATGACTTTCACTAGGTCATCGGGCTGGGAAGTGGGGGATGGTGCAAAGCTGGACAGACTGGCATCCACTGGGCAGGCAGGACCTGGCCCTGTCCTGGGGCCCGTCCCCCCTCATCAGCCCATCAGGAGCCTCGTAATCAAAGAATGCTAGAGCGGCCAAGACATTTACAAAGTAAAGATCCTTTGTGCTGGAGTGAAATGATCCTTTAAAAATGATCACCAGCTCCCCTCGTTACCTCTGGAGACCAAGTCCTTGCTGATTTTTTTCCCTTCTTTATCTCAAGTACATTTAAATGTCAATTAAATTTGAAATATCTACATTTGTCAGCATTTCATTTTGGGCCGGCGTGACGTGCTGCTGATTTGTCCACGCAATGTGACACATGAAAAAAACTCTCGAGATGCAGATCTTCCTCATTAAAAAATAAGCCCATGCGATCCCGGCACGGCAGAGAGCCACAGAGCACGTCCCTGCTTCCTGACGCCGTATCTCTGACATGGTATTTAAAAAGGAACAGCCGCGCCTGTCACCACTGTCACATGCACGCGCTAACCGGCGACACATTAAACCAAACATTAGAAAGGGTTCGGGAAGTCATCTGCATGGGAACTCTGAGCCGAGATGAGGTGGGCAGAGGCAGGAGCAACCGTGGAAGGCGATGGGGTCTGAATGGTGATGGACGGCAGGCCTTTCTTTCTCGCCAAGACTCTGGCAGCCCTCGCTGGGTAGCCAAGTTCACCACGACCTGCCTTTTCACAGACAGCTCTTTGTGTGTAATAAAATCCAGGCAAGTGGTGGGTGGCAGACTGCAGGGTAGTAGCTGAATTGGGTTAATGAGGGAAGAGGTACACTTTTTTTTTTCTCATATTCTGCCTTAAGCTAATAAAAAATTTAAACCTGGACATTTTCAGCGATTCATCCTTTATCTCTGACAAATATCTGACTGTATGTTTCATAGGAGGACATGAGCAGCTGAATTTAAATAAGTTTATTTTGAAATCTCCCCTTTTATTAAAAGTAGAAGGGGGCATACCCGCCCACCTATTTCATTGTTTCAGATCCACGGAGCTCAAGAGGCAGGATCACAACATGGTTTAGAGTCAGACACATCCAGATTCCTACCTCTGCCTGTAGCTGCTGTGTGACACTGGCCAAGTGAATACCCCTCTCCGAGCCTTGGCTCCTCTATCAGCAAAGTGAGATGTGATAAGGAATTGATGAGAAACTGTACAGGCAGCGTTTAGCCCAACACTTGTAAGTACCGCTAGTATATCATCATTATCCATGTGGCCCAAAGCCTGATCTGACCAAACCACCTGGCAAGGTTCTCTGTTATTCTCAAGAGACAGGCAGTGTGTTCAGCAGATACCCTGGGCCTCCCGTTGAAGCCAATGCCCAGCCAGCTCAGCTGGGAGAGCTCACTGGAGGGAAAGTGGTTTGTGACCCAGGAGCTGAGGTTCTCTGGCCCTCCTCTGACCTCCCCAAGCCCACTCCGCAATCACACCAGTGTGGCCAGGCACTGGATTTGACAGGGCTGTGAACCGCAGCAGCCTCGTTTGATGAAGCCAAGGTCCAGTCCAGCAGCACAAAGGTTCTTTGCTCTTACATGAATCCAGACGTTCCTGGCAAGTTTAGTGGCATTCAGCTAACGTGCCAAGCTGTGATCTCTGTCTTGTCAAAGCCAGAGGAGGAGAGCGTACTTGGATGGCTGCTGGAAGGGCATTCAGGATGGATTCAAGGGACACCAAAGAGCTTCATGCAGTTTGACACAAGCAGAAATTCACGTCCCCCTCATACACATCTACCACCAGCCCGGCTGACGAGAAAGTGAGGGCCCTGGCCTGGAATCCCTGCTTGTCACTTTCTAGCCAGGCCTTGTGTCACATCTCTCTTCCCCACAGTGATTTCCCAGTGCTCACCTAGCACTGGGTCTGCTCATAGCAAGTACTCGTGAAGTACCTTGTGGTTGGGTGTGTGGATGGACGGACGGACGGATGGACGGACTAGTGACAGGCCCATCATCTGTAGAGTCAGTGCAGTGAAGCCTTCTTGCTAGCCTATTGGGAAGGGTAGAAATCACCTACATAAAGCCCCTGGCACAGTGGATATGATCTTAAACATTTTTCCAAGACACTCCTGCCTGCTCCTCTACACCTAACACCCTCACCCCCAAATGTGGTCCCATTCTATGGTCTCAGCATTTTAGGGGACAGATGGGGACCTCAGGGAACACTTTTATACCGGAGCCACAAGCTGATGAAAGGGACAGGTGCCATGCTGGTGCTCCAGAAATATAGGTGAGATGGGTGGGGGTTGCCTCGTCTCCCCAGTACACTGACTTCCATTCATGCGATCATAAACCTCCATTGCACTAATGCCGTGCCCCAGGTGGGGATAAAGAGAAGAATGAGCCAGGCCCCTGCCCTGGAGGAGCTCAACTCAGAAACAGCATTGCAAAAGGTTCAATGATATTGATGAAGTGCTGTGACACACAGCCCCAGGGGAAGCTAACTCCACCTAGGAGAAAAACTAGCTGGGAATTCCAGAAAAGCTTTCTAGAGTGCCAGCTGAGCCGAGCCGTCAAGACTGAAGAGCAGTGAGTGCACCAGGCAAAGACGACAGGGAGGTCTGCAAGGTGTGCAGGGGAGGTGAGGAGGAGGCGCAGAGGTGGACAGGCCCAGCGTACAGCACAGTGTTTGCCCTACACGGAGCTTGGGCTTGGCACTGCCATTCTGCAGCCCTCACCCCTGCCCGGCATATTCTCCATGCTCCCCAGAGTGGAGGGGGAGGGCAGGGTACCTGTCCACCCCTCCTCACCTCCTCACCTCCTCACCTCCTCTCCTGCCCAGGAGAGCAGTCCAGTGCCAGCAAGTGAGTACATCCCCCTAACTTTTAAGCAATTGATGAAATCATTCTGTAAATGTCTGCACATTATTATTCCTGACACCTAATGGGTTTGCTCACCACACAACCAACTGCCTGGAAATTGCTATTCAGATTTGCAGGATAATGACAGATAAGCAGGATGATGACACGGTTGGGTTTGTGATTCACAACAGGATTCCAGTGGCTGTGTGGAGTGGCCCCTCTGCTGCACCTTGTGTTGTGTCCCAGGGGGTGTGGCAGGAGCCGGGTGGCCTCATTTCTGTGAGTCAGACCTTCCTGCCCTCTCTCCTGAGTCCAGGAGAGATGGCACCTAAGTCCACCTAAGCCAATGCTCTCTCTGACCCAGGAAGGGCCAAGTCCCTAACATCCAGATAGGCGGCCTAGGCAAAGAGAGGAGCCCAGTCACCCACCACCCGCTGTGTGCAACCCTGGGCAAATGGCCTCCCCTCTCCGAGCCTTCAGTACGAGGACAAAGCTCTTGGCCTGCCTAATCTCCAGGGGTAACAACAAGGCGGAAGGATCTAGGTGTGCAAGTGCCTGGGGGCTCCGCAGCTCTGGGAGCCAGCCCTGGTTCTACTTTTGAAAGAATAGCATATTCTTGGCAATAGCTGGCTTCGCACCAGTGATGGCAGATCACAGCACAGCCCGCTCTCCCGCTCCCTCACCACCCCCCAGCGTGGTTCCCATTCACTCTTTTGGACATGATGCCCTTTTATGAAATGAAATCCAGAAGGAATTGCCTCAGCAGAGAAAGAAATCTGCTCTGAGAGAGGAGACTGCCCCACCTTGGACCCTCTCCTGAGCTTCACCACCGCCCCCAGGGGTCCTTGGAGCATGCCCAACCCAGCGTGCAGGCCAAGCAGCGGCTGGGGGTGCCAGGGTGACCCAAGCTCAGCCAGTCCAGCTCCCCTCTCCCAAGCCCGCGCTGCTCATGGGCCCTGGTCAGTGTATAATTCATAGCGGCCGCGCGGACCTTCTCGGGGCTGCGTGGTGTTTGTGTTTATAGAGGTAGAGCTCACAGGTGGCTGACAAGGGAGATGTATTTTTTATAACAATGAATATTTAATTTCCACATCACAGATGAAAAAGACTCTCTGAAGAGGCATGTGAGAGAGACTCCTGAGACCAGCCGCTAATCAGAAGAGGGCCTTCTAGCCCGAGCCCCTCCACATGGCTCACTTTCTTCCTTAACTTTCTATTTTTATGTTTTCCTGATTATTGAAGCAGATATGCACATTGTAGAAAGTGTAGAAGACACAGAAAAATAAAGAGGGGGGGTGTGTCACCCCTGATTCTTCTAGCTTTTGTCAACACGCAGGCATATCCCTTTCCAGTCTTTTTTCTCTGCCTTTTCCCATAAATAGGTGAGAGAGAATATAGTATAATTGCAATTCTGCATCCTGGTGTTGAGATTTTGCTCTTTCATAAACATCAGAGTTAATGGGTGGCTAATATTCAGCCAAGTGTACTATAATTCATAGCCTCCCATTGCTGGAAATTTAGGATGTGCCATATTTTAATATTACAAACAGTGGTGATGAACATCTTCGTGCATCATTCTTTGCTACATTTAGGGTTATCTAAATGGAAGTAGAGCTGTGAGGTCATAGGCGACTGGATCATGTGTTTAAGGCTCTTGACACCTGTGGCAGACTCTCGGTTTCTTTCCTGTTGGGGACCAGCTTCCTCACCTTGGGGCCCTCCCAGCCTCCCAGGCCCTCTGGCCTTCTCCAGGGAGCCTCTGCCTCTGGTTGGCAGGGGGACGCCAGGGCCAGGCGCTGAGCCCAGAGGCCCCCCCACTCCCCCAGCCCACCACATGGAGTTCCAAGGGTGCCTCCTAACTGCCTCTTCTCTCTTGTCTTCCTCTGCCCCAGCCTGGTAAAGCCCTTGCGACACTATGCGGTCTTCCTGTCCGAAGACTCCTCTGACGATGAATGCCAGCGGGAAGAGGGCCCGAGCTCTGGCTTCACTGAAAGCTTTCTCTTCTCCGCCCCCTTTGAATGGTCTCTCCTTCCTTCTTCCATTTCTTTGAGTTCGGCTTGGTGACACTCCTGGGCCGCATGGGGGTGGGGGGCCGGAGCCGTTTGCCCCCTGTGTGTAGGGAGGGCCATCTGGAGCTGCTGCCTCCTGGTGCCCCCATGCCAGCTTGAGGGGTGAGTGCCCCCCTGTGTGCCTTTGCCCGGGACCCACATTGTACCAGCCCCGCAGGCTCTGTGGTGAGGAGTGAGGGGACGGGAGCAGTGGGGCCTGCAGGTGTGCAAAGGAGGCATGAGTCCTGGTCCCTTACCCAGGACAGTGCACTTACTTGACTGTTAACCCGACTGGGTGTCGATGCCCAGGCCTCCTCTTATTGAGATAAGCTCCCAAAGCTATGCAGATGGAGGGTCAGATTTTAAGTCTAAAAAAAAAAAAAAAAAAAAAAAAAATTACTGATATGGAGTGTATATGATTGCTGATAGATGCAATTTTAGTATATGTGCTGCTGAAGCGAGCATATAATTGCTGATAGATCCAAATGTTTTACCAATCTGCCTGACTGTGAGATGATTTTTTATTATTGTTGTTGTTATTGTTTATAGCCTGAGCCTCACACTAACTGAAAAGATGATCCACCCACAACCCGGCCACCCCCCCACCCCACTCCCCACTACCTGGCATTAAGCTTTGGCAGTTTCTCTTCCTTCCCCAGTTCTCATCTCCACAGGTTCTCTGGGGCTGGGATTGAGCAAAGGGACAGCTTCTGTATGTGTCAGTTAACAAAGCTGTAGTGTTTTTAATGGGAGCCTTTCAGGGAAGACAGCTGCCCTTCACCCACGGAGCCCACACCCACCCTCCAGGGAGTGAGCTATTAAAACCATCTTATAGAAGAGGAGGTCCTTCCCTCCATTCCCCCTCTCAGTTCCCTTCCCTCCAGCCAGGCCTCTGGGTTCCTAAGAACTCCAGATAAAACCCACCAGCTCTGCTTCTCTCATTGCCCCCCAGGGGTAGGAGGATTCTGGCCCTTTCTGCTTCCAGCCCACCAGTGACCCTGGCAAGTCAATCTCCTTCACATGCCATCTTTTCTGCACATTAAGTCTTTTTCTTTAAAAATGTTCTGTTAAAACTTTAAGTTAACTTTGTCCTAGGCAGTAATATCTGTTTGGCCTAACGTAATCATACCATTGGCCTAACGTAACAATTATTATTTCTACTATTAGTCAAAATAAAGATAGAACTGGGATGCCTGGGTGGCTCAGCAGTTGAGCATCTGCCTTTGGCTCAGGACGTAATCCCGCAGTCCCAGGATGGAGTCCCGCATCGGGCTCCCTGCGTGGAGCCTGCTTCTCCCTCTGCCTATGTCTCTGCCTCTCTCTCTCTGTGAGTCTCTCATGAATAAATAAATAAAATATTTAAAAATAATAATAAAATAAAGATAAGAACCATTGGAATAAGAAATATATCAACTCAAAATCACCTTGCAGGTAAAAGCACTCTGCCTCGGTGACATCCAGGGTCTCCCCACCAGAGTCCAGTGGGTCTCCTCATTATTTTTTAATTCATTGATGCCTTAATTATTTAAATAGTGACTAGTGCTCACTCCCTCAGCCATGACCTATGAAAAGTATAGGCTTTTGTGTGTCTGTGTGATTAAAAAGGAAGTGGCCCACATGTTAACTATGCTGGAGTTAAATAAATAAAAATAAATTACACAGGAAAAGCAAAAAAAAGGGGGGGAGGGAACTGGCCCACTCTAAATCAAAATTAAAAAATAAAATGATTTTTTTTTTAAAGAATACATTTCCTTCCTTAAGCGTAAGGAGCACACTGACTTTTCCTTATCCCCCTTCATTGTGCTCAAACTTGGTTTCCTTGGTCAGATGGCTTAGAGTGCGTGGAAACCTTTGAAGTCTCTCATACTCGGTGTCCATTGGTACTTTTTGCTTTGTGACATAGGGTGAGTTGCTTAGCCTCTCTGAACTCCAGGAGATACCAAAGGCTGATGGAGTCCTTGTAGAGGACTGAGCCCTCCCCTCCCCTGGTTCCTGCAAGGGGGCCTTTAGGACCAGCAGGTGGCGCCCTCCCCCCTCCCCCCACTCTACGGGAGCCGTCTGCTCGTTCTGCTGGGACACGGGGACAGAACCAACCCCAGCCTCTGTCCTGGCCCTGACTCAAGCCAAGGCTGATCCAGGCACCATTCTCCACAAACCCAGTGGTGCCCCGGGGTTGAGGCTTGTGAGAAAGTAAAGTAAGAGGAACCTTTTGTCACCTATGCCTGGGTCAGACATACAGAATGCTGTGAACAGCCTGTGTGTGCCTGTTGTGTGCCAAGCACTGTGATAGTTTTAGTCGCGTAATCACCACCACCACCTGCAAGGGAGGTGCACTCTGGAATGGGGGAAGAGGTTGAGGTTCAGAGAGGTTAAGAGGCTTTCCAAGGTCCCATAGCAAGAAAGGGTAATACCAGAGCTAGAACAGAGCACAGTCTGAGGCCCCAGTGGGTCCCCCCGAGGGTCCAGAGCCACCCTGGGCAGTTGCCCTGAGGAAACTTCCCCAGCCCAGGCCCCTGGGAGCCACCGGGAAGTGGGAGTGCAGAGGCTGCACTCTGCCCCGCTTCAGGCATGTCCCGTTCCTCATGCCTTGTCAGGGTGGCCTGTGAGCCCACTGGCCAGTTATTTGGTGGGTCCTGTGGTTTTCAGGGGACCTAAGTGGATCCCCCAGTGCGAGTGCCACTGCCCAGACCCCAGCATTCACCGGGACCCCAAGACACTCTCCTGTCCCCAAAGCTCCTGGGTGGAACTCCTCAAAGCCCAGGAGTTCCTGGGGTGGGGGCTGCTTGCTCCTCCTGTGGAGGCTCTGGGCGGGAGAATCCAGCCTGCTCTGCCTCCTCCCAGGCCTCTGCCGTATCGGACGCTCAAGGAATCAGACAGTGCAGAAGGCGACGAGGCAGAGAGTCCAGAGCAGCAAATGCGGGAGCCCACGGGCCCTGCCCCAGCTCCACCTGACCGGGCTGCCAGCATCGACCTTCTGGAAGACGTCTTCAACAGCCTGGACATGGAGGTGCCACTGCAGCCACTGGGCCAGGCAAAGAGCTTGGAGGACCTTCGGACCCCCAAAGACCTGAGGGAGCAACCGGGAACATTTGACTATCAGGTATGATGCCAGCAGGGACAGGGACCTGCCAGGGCTGGTGCTTTCCACACATGAGGCAGGTTCCCCCATGTGACAGTGAAGGAAATCGAGGGAGAAACAGCAACTTCTGCAGGGTCAGCTGATGCTTGGGGTCATTCTGCCTGCAAACCCTGCCCCGGGCAGGCCAGCAGCCACTGATGACTATAGAAATGTCACACCCGATGGAAACCTGCTCCTCACTTCCATTTGTGCATCAGACAGAGGTGTGCCAGTGCTCCGAGTCACTGTCCCAGGGCCCCAGCCTCCACCCTCTGGCAGCTCTTTGGACCCCTGATGGAATTGGGATTGCTTCCATGCCCACCAGGTCTCCTTGGAGAGCCTGTGGATCACAGTTCCTGGATTCTGGATTACTTGCGTGGGACCACTGCTCCTCCATTGTGCCCTTCCAGTCTATCATAGCCCCTCTTGCCTGTTTCCCCACTTGCAAGTGGAGGCTGTGACTGAGTCACTGGATCTGTGGAATTCACAAAGCTCCCACAGATGCAGTGATTCATGCCGCCCTCCTGCAGGGCATTACTTACTGTTCCCTCCCACTGCAGCCCAGGTAGTGTGGCTCACGGGTGGCACAGCCGGGACATGGGCCTAGTCCTGCCAACCACAGAAGACACCTTTGCCCAGGCCCCATACCTCATGCATCCTTGAGCTCACAGGTGATTAAAAGTGCCCACATACTCTGAAAAGTAAAAAAGAAAAAAAAAAAAGAAAAGAAAAGTAAAAAAGACCCAGCCAGTAGATGTCTAATAAATGGAGTCATTTTCCTAAAACCACTTGGCAATACTGACGTAAAAGGATAGGGCTTTCTCTAGACTCCCTGTGTACAGGGAGAAGATAGCCCTCCTTGGAGTCTGAAAAGTGAGAACGGTAAAGAAAGCCCGGGCTTGGCGTCTGGACTGACCCTCTCTGCTGGTGACCTGGGCCCAGCCCTCCGGCTGCTCTGGTCCCAAGGAGCTGATGGGCCACATGTCTGGGAACAAGCAATGGGAGGGGCAGGGGGAAGGGTATCTGCTGCCTTCCAGTCTGTCTGGGTCCATCTCTGGTCACTGCCTCCCTTGTTCTCTCCCACAGAGGCTGGACCTGAGCAGAAGCGACAGGAGCTGCGGGATGCCAGTGGCCTTGAAGCTCACCCACCCATACTATAAGCTCTGGAGCCTGGGCCAGGATGACATGGCCATCCCCAGCAAGCCCCCGGCCACTTCCCCCGAGAAGCCCTCAGTCCTTCTTGGGAAGTCCCTGGCTCTGCCTCGCATGCTGCCAACCCAGGACAGCATCCTGAATTCCGGTGACAAGGAAGAGGCCCCCACCCCCACTCCGGGCAGCATCACTATTCCCCGACCCCAGGGCAGGAAGACCCCGGAGCTGGGCATCGTGCCTCCACCCCCTGCCGCCCGCTCGGCCAAACTTCAGGCTGCCAGCGCAGCCCTTGGGGACCTCTCCTCGGAGCGGTTCCAGGCTGAGCGGGAGAGGCGAGCCCCCCCAAGTCCGGCGCCGTTCCCGGGGCACCTCCCCAGTGCTGCCCCTCAAGCACCCCCCGAACTGCTGCAACCACTCAGCCTGGCCCCTGGGGCTGCAAGCACAGGCAGCGATGCCCTGCTGGCCCTCCTGGACCCTCTTCACACAGCCTGGTCGGGCAGTGCTCTTCCCCCAGGCCCTTCAGCCCCAAATGTAGCCACCTCACTCACCCCCCAGTTTAGCTTCCCCCCAGCAGGGAACCTCACCCCATTCCCACAGCCATCGCTCAATCCCTTTGTCTCATCTATGCCGGCAACACTGCCCGCTGTGCCCCTGGTCTCCACACCAGCCAGGCCTTTCGGGGCCCCTCCTGCTTCCTTGGGGCCCGCTTTTGCCCCCAGCCTCCTGCTGTCCAGTTCTGGCTTCTGTGTTCCACATAGATCTCAGCCCAACCTGTCTGCCCTCTCCATGCCTAACCTCTTTGGCCAGATGCCCATGGGTGCCCACACCAGTCCCCTGCAGCCACTGGGCCCCCCCATGGTCGCCCCTTCACGGATCCGAACGTTGCCCCTGGCCCGCTCAAGTGCCAGGGCTGCTGAGGCCAAGCAGGGGCTGGCCCTGAGGCTCGGAGACCCCCCGCTCCTTCCTCCCGGGCCCCCACAGGGCCTGGAGCCAGCACTGCAGCCCTCTGCTCCTCAAGAGGCCAGAGACCCCTTTGAGGAATTGTTACGGAAAACCAAGCAAGATGTGAGCCCGGCCCAGGCCGCGGGCTCGGTAGAGCAGCTCAGGAAGCAGTGGGAGACCTTCGAGTGAGCCAGGCACGCGAGAGCGAGGGCGAGGGGGCCGCGCTGTGCTGCCTGCCGCTGTGCTCCGCTGCTGGCTGGCCCTGCTTTCCCTGCTGCTCTGTTTACGCCCAGGTTCTACTGGCGGGAAGGGATGGGACCCTCTCTGCCACCCCTCTTCCCCTACACACCACCCATCTCTGAGGCCTGGCCACTAGAGAATGGTGCCAGTTCTGGCCTAGGAATGGACCTAGCCCCTGGGCACCCATCCCACCCTGCCATCACCCCTCCCCGACACCCGAATAGGTTTTGCACTAAAGAGGTCAGCTGGGCGAACGATTGCCCCAGACCAAGTCCTACCCTCCTTCCCCTTGGAAGCCTCCCACTAGGAGCCCCAAGGCCACGGGGGCCTCTCCTCCCCAACCCTGACTTTTTGACCCAACTGCAGCCTGGCCCTGTGGACCAGCGCGGGTGGCAGTGGTAGTCTCAGCATGAACTCGTCTGCACCAGACACATGTGGCTTGCAGTTTGGAGTAAGGAGAACCTACCTACCTGGTGGGGCATTTCCAAACCATCTCTAGCAATACACACTCTCGTTCGTTCTTTTGTGGGTCTTCATCCCGGCTGCCAACCTTCAGTTTCTGGTTTGGTAGGGATTTGGGGCTGAGGGATTCTAGGGAGCCCTCTGATAGCTAGACGCAGCCCCAGCCAGCCCTGTACAGGGGCTGGGAGCACCAGCAACTCTGATTTGTAAAAGAAAAAATAGCGATGGGAAAATTGAGTGCATTAGGAGGAGTCAGGCCACCATTCTGTGCTCTCCCTCTGGGCCGGGGTTTCTTGGGTCTCCCGTCGCATGGGACCATGGGGGCAGAGCTGAGAAGCAGGTTCCCGGTTTCCAACTGGGAGGACAAGCTTGATGCAGCCCCCCCCCCCACCGCCGCCCAGGCTCCCCGGGTCAGGACCCAGCTGGGACAAAGTTGGCTTCTGGCAGCTGAGAGGCAGAAGGGCCAGGAGCCACCCCCTCCCCAGCCCACATAGCACAGAAATTCCTGAGGCCAACGTCACCAAAGTTCAATTGAAATGTTTTGTTATTGTTTCTTTTATCTACCTTTTCCTTTTTACTTTATTGATTTGATGAATCTTTAAACTGACTAGTTTCAATAAACTGAGTTAAAATATGGCCCAACCATTTAAGAAAACAACCATCTGAGACATGCAGGAAATTGTGAACATTTTGACCTGATTTCTCATTTCCTATTTGTGAGTGGTCACACAGTCTCAGGGGTGTCTGACAGGGCAAGGGGGTTCCTGGAGGCCCCTGTAACCCCAAGGAGCTTTGTCACTGAGGGGCCCTGTATGGGTCCAGGAAGCCTGGAGGCTAGGCCCTGAGCCTCTTGGCTGGGGGGTGTGAAGAGCTGCAGGCCCATCACACCATCCCTTCCTGAGTGGGTCACGACCCCCTGGGCAAGTTGCTCTCAAGCTCTGCATGTTCTCTGGCCGCTGAGGTGGCAGGGGAGCTGTGTGATGTCTAGGCACATGGGCACCTCCAGGACTCTCAGGTGTTTTTGGCACAGGTTCCAGATCCACCCATCCATCCCGGGCAGACCCCTGAGCCCCATCAGGGACAGGGCAGCCTCCCCACCCTGCCTCACCCCCACAAGCAGAGTATAATGGATACTGGGGGGCCCTGGGGAAGCAGAGTCCACCCTGCCGTCTGTCTCCCCTGCTGTGCTGGGGGCTGGTGGCAAGAGCACGCCCACGTTGACACGAGCATTGTTGTCTTCACTTGCTGGCCTGAGTTTGCACCCGAGGATGAATGTTATGTGCACATTCAATAAAATCTTCTTGGGGAGAAGGTTGGCATTCCTGTGTCCTGAGGCAGCTCTGGGGTGCAGGGAGGGCTCAGAGCAGTGAGAGAAGGACTGGGCCCCTGGCCCCCTCTGCAGCCTGTTCCATTTGAGCCTCTGAGCCCAGGCCCTTCCCTGTCCCAAGCAGCGCATGAGGAGGAAGGAGCTGCTTACGGGCACGCACAGGCTTGGCTGGTCCACAGAGCAAGGCTGCAGGTCACCGATGGTGTGAAGAGTGCCCAGACTCCAGGGAACAAGTTCAAGGGAACAGCAGGAAATTCCGCCCCCTGACATCTCTCACCAGCGCCTCTGCCGAATGCCTGTGTTGGGAGAGCTGGACCGGGCACCGAGAGAGGGGCTAAACACACCCAGCAGCCCCTGATCTGGTCATGACCCCTCCTCTGGCTGCCCTCGAAAAGGACAGGTGCCAGATCCCTTAAAAGCAAAAGAGGAAGACAACATAGGGCTCCCAGAAAAGTGGCACTGCTTTTATTTCTTGGGGTTCCATGTGTCTTAGAGGGGTCTGTAAGAACACAGGTTTGCCAAATCCCTGATTTAATAAAAATAACCAAGGCACCAGCTGTGGCTAAGTTGCTGGTACCAGATGTTTCCTCCCCCACTTTCCCAGGAGTCATGATGGAGAAAGTGGGAGAAAGGTGCCACTTCCTACAGGATGAGGCCTCAGCAAGTCCCGTACCCAGTGTTCAGGGCACTTCCTATCCCAGCCTCAGCTGAACCCCTCAGTCTCAGCCACACTCAGGCTGCCTTACCCCCCGTCACCACTTGGCTCTACCTCAGATTTGCCACCTGGACCTCTGGAAGCTGGCTGAGACCCCGAGGGCAACTAGGTAAAGTCAGCCACCAATCTAGAAGTGAAAAGGGGTCTCCTGGCCTTGGCACAGGAGGTGGTGGCCTGGGAAGCAGGAAGGACAGACGGGCATGTCTCCAGGTCAAGGATGAAGGGACTTCCTGAAGCTGGGAGGAGGCTGGGCACTCGGTGGTGGTAGTGGGGACTGCCCTTCTGGGGTCAACGGGATGGCATTTTCAGGGAAGGGACTGGGAGCAAAGCCAGTTCCTCCTCTGCATCTGTGTCTGTGTCTGCAGGACCAGCCCTGACACAAAGAGGTGATGCCTACATTTGCTGAAATCACCAAGCAACTCTGAGGGCTTCCTGCGAGTCCTGAATCCCACCTCCCTCACCCCCTGCCACATATGCAGCCATTGAGAGAGGCCACTGGTCTGTGGGTGGAGGAGTGGCCTCCTCAGGCAGCTGTGATGGGAGCACTGGAACGGGAGAACCAGAGGTGGTTGGGGGCCAGGGGCGGAAAGTTTGCTCCCTTATCCTGGGCCTCCTTGCCACAGGAAAGGCCCCTCCCCCACATGCCCTCGCTCCCAGCTGACAACCCTTCCTGAAAACCAACAGGGTGATCCACAGAGCCCAGCAGCACACAGTGTCCATCTAGGGCACTTTCCCGTCGTCATCGCAGATCCTCACAACAGCCCCGTGAGGGAGGCAGAGGCTGTTCTCCCCAGAGAAACCCCGCGGCAGGGCGTGACATCTCAGGCAGCTGGCCCTCTGCCCCTGCACGTCGGCCCTGCACGTGGTCTGTGTTCCTGCACTTCCGGCCCCTGGCACAGGCAGAGACATCTCCCTGAAGAAGCATCTGTCCTGGGAACCAGGGGTCACTAGCTGATGACACCCCACCCCCACCCCCACCCCCAGTTTCCAGCAGCCTCCAGGGTTAGGAGGACGCCAGGGCTGAGGCCTGGGTCACTGGGGCCTTGGCCTGGCCTGGCCTCCTGGGGAACACATATTGCCCCCTGCCCCGGGGCTGGGAAAGCCCATCCCTAGAGCCCAGTGGCCCCTCCAGGGTATCGCCCGTACCCACCACACCATCATGTGCAGGCACAGCAGAGACACGGACACGCCCACTGGCCCCATCCAGAATGCTCCACTGCTTTCTGCAGGCCCGCAGCCCCCAGGTCCACGCTCACACACACTGTGTGCCCCTCCCCTGCACAGTGGGTCCCCCGGTGAAGTCCACGGCCTGTCCAGGCCCCTATCTGCTTCCCTGAGTGCCCCCCTTCTCCTGTCCACAGTGGGGCAGAGGTGGGGGCTGCCAGCAGAAGGCCTGGGCCCTGCTGCTGCAGGAAGAGGCTGGCCACAGAAGCAGCCTCTCTGGTCCTCAGGTGGAAATCAGCTGGGACCTCACAGGTGCTGGAGCAACGGCCAGGCAGGCTTAGATGAGTCTCTCCTCTGGCGGCACCTTGAGGACACTGTCCATTTCCAGCCGGGCCCCAGCCACCTCCTGCTGGCTCGGGCTATAGGTGCCCTCTGACTGACGGCGCTTCCTGGCTGCCAGTATCCCTGAGAGGAGGCCCAAGAGGAGAAGCAAGAGGCAGGCGCAGGCCGCGGGCACCACAACCTCCAAGAGCGGGAACGGGAGAGGCAGTGGCAGGCCTTTCTGCAAGAGATGTGCGGATGAGGGGCAGGCGGGGGGGTTCACATAAACCTCACCGCGGTCTAGTGGAGGGGCTGGGGGTGCTCCTTCCCTCCCACAAGGACAGGAATCTGCTTTATTTCGATCACTGCTAAGTTCCAAGTCCCCAGGGCAGCAGCTGCCTGGTCGCACTCAGCAAGCAGTAGAGGTGAAAACAGAGGCTTTGCCCAGATGCCCCAGACACGTGACTAGCAAGCCCAGACTGGCAGTCTCCTCCTTCTGCCCCCAGGGCCCATGCCCGCCCCCACTCCCACCTTCCTCAGCCCTGAGTTCCAGCTGCAGGCCCTTCCTTTCCTGGCCAGAGTGGGCCCTGCCCCCAGCCTCCCCCGGTCCAGTAAACTCATCCAATCTAAGGCAACAGGGACTCACTCCCTTCCCCATCCAAAAAGGGTGGTCTGGTTTTTTAGTGTCTGTGGAGACCATGCTTAACCCACAGTGGCAGGCTTGTCAGGCAGCAGCAGGAAAGGCTCCCCAGCCAGGAGGCCTGGGTGGGGCAGGAGTGGAGGCTGGCCCGCCTAGCTGACCTAGCTGATGGTGAGCTCAGAACCCACCAGGGGCTGTCCAGCTAGGGAGACGGACGAGGCTTTGGGGAGCCCAGGAAATCTCTCCATCTCCCATTATAGAACCAGGATGCCCCCAAGAAAGACTACGGGCCTGGATCTGTGAAACCCCCAAATCACAGAATTCTTAGATTCCAGAGCCCAAGGGTCTCAGACTCACGGGCCCTCCCTCTGTCCCAGGAAGCCTCTCAGCCTGCTGTGACCTGGGTCCCAAATCTCAGTACCCAGCCCTAAATGGGCAAAGGTACCCAGGGCTGTCGAGAAAAGTTCATACCAGCCCGGAATGGGTCCTCACCAGCTTCCACCCCAGGTGCTTCTGGGAGAGCTGTAAAGCCATTTCCTCCCTTGGCCCTGCCAGGAGGGTAGGTGGGGGAGCCAGAGGCTATAAAGTTCAACTTGAAAGGAAACATTCTCCAGAAGCAGAGGGGATTTGCCGGTTTATGACCCGCGATGCCAGAAGCCTACAGAGATCAAGGCTCCTCTGTGGGCTTCCCTGCCTATGTCTCTCCCACCAGCACCCACCGTGGGCTCACCGCCCACTGGCCTGTGGCGCCTATTCTGACCCCCGTGGGAAGGGGGTCAGGGGGAGCTACCTGCTGGCCCCCATCTATTGGGCTCCTCCTCAGTGGGGCCTCCTTGAGGTCAGGGGCTGCCTTGGGCAGCCAAGGCAGCTCTGGCTCAGAATCCCGGGCTTGCCAAACCTTCCTACTCAGAATCCTAGCACAGGAACTGCTGGAGATTACAGGCTCTCATATCCACCAACCTAAATCCTAGAATCCCAAGATCCTGTTGGTCCTGAATCCCAGTCCCAAACAGCACTTGCCAGAGCCAGAGCCCAACTAGTTCACTGCTAGTCCCTAGAGGAATGCTGGGCCCTCCCAAGCTCTCCAAGTCTCCTTCCCTACAACAGGGCTGGTCCAAGAACAGCGCCACCAGAGCCTACACACTCCCCTCCACCCCAAATCATCTCACTACAGTCCAAAAGAGGACTTCCCAACTCCCTCCTCACTCACCACCACCTCACAGAACTGGCCCGAAAACCTTGCACTGCAGATACACTCAAAGAGCCCACCAGCAGCCCGGCAGGTGCCTCCATTCAAGCAGGGGTTGGCCTCACAGGGGGTCTGGCACCTGGGAAGCAGAGAAGGTGAGGCTCGGAGTGCTGCTCCCTCCTGTATCGCCTCTTGTAACCCCGCCTGCTTTAGCTTCTCCAAACCACCCCCAAATAGGCAGGTGTCCACCCACTGTCCCCATGGGCTGTCCCCGCCTGCCAGGTGACTGAAGCCAACTGTGCCCCAGCATTCATGAGTCAGAATGACCCGCCGGGTCAGAAGCACGGGGAGGGGGTGTGTGGAGGAGAGGCAGCTGCCCGGAGATGCTGATTCCCTCTCTCTGAGGTGGCCCAGAATGTGCATGCTCACAGTCCCGATGCAGGAGGGCTGAGGAGGAGGCCCCCCAAACCACCACGAGGCAACTACTTCCTCAAGAGACGGCGGAACAGAGGGTGACCTCGGAAGCCCCAGGAGGAAAGAACTCATGTGCCAGAGGTGGACTGCCTGGCACTGTGGTCACAGTGAGGGTTGAAAAGGGGTGAAGCATCCACACCCCACCTTGCCGGCCCTGATGGGAGGGGGTTCAGGGGCCCATCCCGCCGGCTCCCAGGTCCCTGGCCTCCAGGCCCACCTCTGGCCAGCAAAGCCCTCCTGGCAGCTGCAGTTGGCACCCTGGGGCCCATCACAGGGGCCACCAATGAGGCAGGTGACGTTCAGGCTGCATTCCTCTGGCAGGACAGGACGCCTGGGGAGAAAGCACAGAGGCTGCAGTGGGGGCAGCACGCTAGGGACAACAAGGTGGACGACCTCCAGGCCCTGGATGGGAACCTCTCCCCAGGCTCAGAGCCCTTAGAGAGGCCAATGAATGCCAGGATGGTCCTTGGAATGAAAGCATTTTCCTAAACATAAAACCTGGGCCTGACATTCCTCCGGGAGGAGGGGGACGGGGAGGCCAGGCCTCTGCCAGATGAGGCCGCGCAGAGTCAAAACCAGGCTGCAGAGGAAGCACCCAGGCCTCCCGCCGGCTCACTCTGCCCCTCATGCTCGGGAATTAATGAGGATGAACGTGGACAGTGGGCGGCCAGGCAGGAGGGCCTCCAGGTCTCCTTCCAAACCTAGCTCTGGGTTCCCCCACCCCCTACCCACCGCACCCCCCCGCCCCAGACAAGACAGAGTCATTTGTCTCAAATTCAAACTTACCTGGGTTTTATCTGGCGACTCCAGGAGGCCGCCGCCGCCGCCGCCGCCCTTCTCGTTCCACAGAGGAGGGCACGGAGGCTCCGAGAAGGGAAGCGGCCGCCCCGTGGACTTGGGCCCCACCGCCCCACATCCCTGCCCGGGATGCCCCCAGCCCCTCCCCCCACCCCCACAGCGCGCACCTGCAGCGTGGACCCGCGAAGCCGGGCGAGCAGCGGCACTCGAAGCGGCCGTCGGGGCGCGCGTGGCAGCGGCCGCGGGCACAGGGCGCCGAGCCACACGGGTCGGCGCGGGCCTCGCAGCGCGGGCCTCCCCAGCCGGGGCCGCAGTCGCAGGCGAAGCTGTCGAAGAGGTCGCGGCAGCGGCCGCCGTGCAGGCAGGGCGAGGGGGCGCACACGCGCGCGCCGCGGCAGCCGAGGCGGGGGGCGGGCAGCCCGGGCCAGGCCGCGAAGTGCTCCCGGGAGCCGGGCGCCGCGCCAGGCCGCGGGCGCGCCAGGGGCAGCGGGAGGCCGCCGAGCGCCACGCGGCCCAGGCAGCCGGTGAAGTTCTCGGCCAGCAGCACGCGGGCGGCGCCGGGGCCGCGCAGGAAGCCCAGGTCCCCGGCCAGGCCGCGCAGCGCCACGGGCGTCGGGGCGCCGTCCAGCCACAGCAGCCAGCGCGCCGCGGCGGCCCCGGGGCGCTCCATGGCCAGGCGCACGCGGTGCCAGGCGCCGTCGGCCACGCGCGGCCCCCACGCGGGCAGCACCGCCCCGGGCGCGCCCCGGCCGCTGCGCACGCCCGCCGCCAGCGAGCCGTTGCGCAGCGCCAGCCAGACGGCCGCGTGGGCGCCCGCGGTGGCGCGCAGCAGCCCGGCCTCGGGGTCGCGTGTGCGGAAGGCCAGCGACAGGCCGCCGAGCCACAGCCCCGACGATGCGTTGCGCCCGCTGAAGGCGGCGGCGGGGCCCTCGCGGAACGTGGCTTCGGCCACACCTGCGGGGAGAGGGAGCTGGGCGGGGCCTGCGCGTGGCACCCCCGTGCCCCCACCCAGCCCGGGGCCATCGCCCCCACCACCGTGGCTCCCCCCCCAACCCCCGCCCCGGGATTCCCTCCCTCCGGGAACCAGCTTCGGGCTGAGCTGGGGAAGCTGACCTGAGCCGTTGGCGCCCACCCTACCCCCCAGGTCACAGACCAGGCAGTGCTACTGCCTCTGCCGCTTCCCTCTTCAGTGGAGCCGCTCAGTCTCATCGCTGAGGCTCACTATTCACTGCAGTCTTTTTTTTTTTTTTTTAATGCACATCATGTCCCTCTCCTGCCTGACTAAGATGGCCCCACAGCTCCCCACCGACAGCTCTGAGCTGTCTGGCCTAGCTTTCAAGGCCCCTCCTGGCAACATATCCACCCCAACACCTGTAACTATGTTTCAGTTGTTCTTATAAAAACCCAGGGCCTTTGCACATGCTGTTGCTCTTCCCTAAAATGTCCTCCTCTATGTCTAGAGTCTTACTTGCCCTTGGAAACCTGGTGAATGTTGTCTCCCTCCAGAAAACCCATCCCTCTGGATGCAATGGCCTAAGCACCCTGGGGGCCTAACCATACTGGGGGCTGTTAGCATCCTGGTCCACTGCCCATGAGGCCTCAGGGTAAGGGTGGGCTCTACCCCAGCCTGGCTGTCCAGAACCCAACATGTGGGCTGCCCAGAGCGTGTACTCACAGACAAAGCCATCAGGGACCTCTTCACAGGTGGCAGGTGGGAGGCAGGGCTGGCCAGGACACCACAGGTGCTGGGCACATGTGGGCCCCGTGAAGTTGACAGGGCAGGTGCAGTGGAAATCATTCCAGGTGATGAGACAAGTTCCACCATTGAGACAGGGGTCAGGCTGTAGAAAAAGCAGGGCAGGGGTAGGCTCAGGCCTGGCACTAGCATCATCCCACCATGACCATCCCTGCAGTGGCTCTGCATTTTGAGCACCAACTGCAGACACATTCATGTCTCACAAACATATAGAGAGGCAGTCACTATTGTCCCTATTTTAGAGATAAAGAAACTGAGGCTCAGAGAGAAGAAGCTACTTGCCTGGCTCATCCAGGCAGTAAACAGAGGAGTCAGACTTCGCACTCAGGCCATTCCAATCCCAAGGCTGGTGCTTTGTCCATGGACCCAGGGATGTCCCTGTCCCCCATGCAGCTCCCACAGAAAGGCTCAGGCAGCCCTCTGCCTGGGTCAGGGTACCCGTCTCACACCAGGACTGGGGAGGGAGACATGGGGACAGCCAGAGGCCAGGAGCAGCAGGGCCAGAGAGATTAGTGTGAATCCTGCTCTGCCACTCTCTAGCAGTGGAACTTGGGCAGAACGCTTCCCCTTCTGCCATTTTCATCACCAGAAGGACACGCTAACCCCCAGTGATGCAGGGTAGACTCTGAGAAAGGGACCCACCCCCATGCCCCGGGGAACTCACACTGCAGGTGTCCTCGGAGACGCAGCCCATGGTGAGGTTCCAGGACTGCCCACTGCCCAGCTTGCTGGGCTGGCTTGAGTTCCCCAGCAGCGGCGGAAAGAACGGGAGGTGGAGGTCATTGAGTCTCAGGTCCTGGAGGCAGCCTCGGAAGGGCCCACCCCAGGGCTGGGCGTCAGCAGGGAGGAGCCTCCCACCCACATGCACCTGCTGCCCCAAGCCCTGCAGCTGCTCAGGCCCGAAGCTGAGCGTCACCAGGTGGCGGAGCCCATCATCCCAGCGCTCAGGGAGCACCAGGGTAGGACTGCCCAGCACCTCGGCCTGGATCTGGCCCCTGCTCAGGAATACTGTTAGCCCAGCTACCGAGTCGTTGGCAAGCTGGAGTAGAAGGCCAGCAGGTTCCCGGGTCCGGAGGAGAAAGGACACGGTGAGGTTGGGGCCTGGCAGCTGGTGGAGCAAGAAGGAGGCAGCGCTCAGGGTGCCCCGCAAGCCAAAGGTGGCAGCGGGAACCTCTGCAAGGAGAGAGGGCATTAGGTATGAGGCCCGTGGGCCACGGGAAGGCACACCCTCTGTCCCGGGGGGCCCACCTGGCTTGTTCCTCACCATCAGCACAGGTGGGACCACTATAGGGCCGGGGGCATTTGCAATGGAAGCGAGTCCACATGTCCACGCAGGCCCCTCCGTGGGCACAGGGTGGAGGCTGACACTGCTCACGGTGCTCACAGCCCAGGAGGACGTTCTTGCCGAGATCCTCAGGCAACAGGAGGGACCCGTCCACATGCACGTCCTGGAAGCAGCCTTCGAAGGCTGTGCCACCCAGCTGGGCGGAGCAGAAGCTGGCAGGTATCAGGGCTTCAGAGGCCATGGGAGCCGGGGTCACAGGCCCTGAGGCCACACAGAGCTGGGCAGGGCAGTCCTTGTGCCAGAGCCGCAGCTCCAGGACCCCTGGGCGCAGCGAAGCCTCCACCTGGTGCCAGTGGCCATCATTCAGAGCCACGTCCGGGAGCCTCAAGGTAAGCACGGTGGTGTTGCTGTGGCTCCAGAGTGTGGCCCGAAGTGTGCCCCCCGTCAGCGCCAGCTCCAAGCTGTCCTGGCTGTCCGTGCGAGTGGCCAGGACCCCAGCAGGTAGTGTGGTGCGAAACCTCAGTGCCAGACCCAAGGGGCCGCCAGCTGGCAACGATGCCTGCACGGGGCTCCCAGCCACCACAGAGAAGGTGGTGTTCTGGCCACAAAAGGCTCCGTGGGTCCCCGGCGGGCAGTGGCAGGCATAACCGTGGACCCCAGCCTTGAGGGTGGGGATGCAGGTGGCACCCAGTGGGCAAGTGTGGCCCTGGCAGCCAGTGAGCTGCACGGAACAGTCATGCCCACCCCAGGCGTCCGGGCACCGGCAGATGTAGCCCGCCACGGTGTCCTCACAGGTCCCCCCATGGAGGCAGGGCTCCGACAGGCATTCGTCCACATCTTCCTGACACGCCAGGCCTTCAGGAGAGACCAGGCCAAGGCTCAGCACTCAAGGCAAGAACCACACACAGTCTTACCGCAGTGCTCACATGCCTTTTGGGACTAGGATCTCAACACCTAGCAACCAAACAAATTCCCAGTCCCCAAAGGATTTCTCGTGGTTCCCTGAAGTCCCAGGAGGCTGGAATCTGAGATACCCCTTCCTCCACCATGTCTGGTGGGTCTCTGTGCCCCGTGGGTTCAACCCTCTAAACACTCCCTGGTCTTTCCTTTTCTCCCACCCTACCTCTCTGCCTTACCAGCTTTCAGGTCCACAGTGTCCTCTCCTTTGCCTGCCTTCAGTCCCCTCTACCATCCATCTCTACAAGTAGCCAGAGGTCTATTTCTAAAGCATCTCCTGGCCAGATTCCCCAGTGCCTCACCCTGGCACTCAACATCCATCCTGGGCTGGGCCCTCCCAGGTCTCAAGCTTCTTTTCTTTTCTTTTCTTTTTTTTTTAAGATTTTATTTATTAATGAGAGACACAGAGAGAGAGAGAGGCAGAGACACAGGCAGAGGGAGAGAAGTAGGCTCCATGCAGGGAGCCCGATATGGGACTCGATCCCGGGTCTCCAGGATCAGGCCCTAGGCTGCAGGCGGTGCTAAACCGCTGAGCCACCCGGGGTTGCCAGGTCCTCAAGTTTCAACCCTGCTCCCTACAAACCTTGAACTCCCTGTTCCTCCAAGCATTTCCTGGAAAACATTTCTGGAGCTTTGCTCATACTGTTTCCTCTGCTTGGAATGCCTTCTCCTCACTTAGCCTGCCTTTCAAACTCCTGCTCATCCTACAAAGCCCCAATTCAAAGGGCCAGTCCCTTAGAAAGCTTTTTCTCTGATTCCCACTCCCAAGCTCTTGTGTCACTCCCAACTCCCTGCCCACTTCCAGACACAGCTCCCTAGAAAGTATGTGTTTACTCAGCTGGGATCTCCTCGGGGGGCCTGAATGTGTCCTTGGTGCCCAACAAAGGGCCTAGCATGGCTTTTGTGGCTAGAGTGCCGGAATAGAGGAGGGAGTGGGGGTGGATGTATGCACCTAGGCTCCATCCCCCAGTCCCTCTGCCCTAGCACCCCATGTTGACTATGGGGGGGCTACCTCACCCTCCCCTCCAGGAGCTCCCATACCAGGATGGCCCCAGCTTGGGTCAAGAGGCCACACAAAGCCCAACCCCAGCTCAGCCAGAGCCTCCACAAAACAACCAAGGCCAGCCCTTACCACTATACCCAGCTGGAGGAACCCACAAACACCACATCCTCCTTTTGGGGACAGCCAGCCGCACCTTATCTTGCCCAAGGCCCCAGCCCTGCATACCTGCCAGGAGCCACAGGCCCCTCAGGAAAGTCCACAGAGCCCGTGGCCCCATTGCACTTCCCCATGGACGGCCAAGGATGGCAAGTGGGTGCTGGGCCAGAGGAGCAGAGCTCCCGTCTGACTAGCCGCCTCCTTCAGAACTGGCTCAGGAATGCCAGGCACCGGCCTCCCCCAGGCCAACACGACCTGAAGGGAGGATGGGGGTGGACAGCGGCCAGGAGCCTAGTGCTACAGCCGGGGTTCCTCTCCCGGCCCTGACCTCAGTTCTGACCTCCCTGTCACCCATGAGCTGAGCTCAGCCTGGGGAGGAGCTGGGCTCTGGCTGACACTGGTGAACCTCAGGAACTGACAGGCCCCTCTCAGTCCTCCATTACTTCATCTGTAAGAACCCTACATTGAGGAGGTGGATGAGGAGGGAAGGAAATGCACAGAAACACATTTCTCGGAGGTAGTGGGCCCTAGTGGGCCCACTGTGCACCAGACACCTGCTCCCGGGCAGGACTCAGGGATTCTCAGCCTGGGGGCGGGGGCGGGGGGTAGCGTGCAGGGTGGCTATCAGGGTGGCCAGGGGAACACTGAGCCCAGCGTCTTTGGGCGATCACCACCTCCTTCCCCTGGGCAGGGGAGACAGTGCCCAGGAAACCTGCCAGAGAGAAAAGGCCGTGTGCTCAAGCAGGAATGCGGGTGGTGCGGGGGAAGTATCACAAGCATTCCAGAGGGGGCAGGGACACTCTGAGTATGTGAGGAGTTCTTCCACACTTCACCAGCTTCCGTGGAACGATATCTGCGTGTCTATGCATCTGTTGTACCCCAGGCAGGGAGAGGCTTTCTACAGTCCAACTCCTGCCCAATGCTCCCCAGAGGTCATCACCTCTCTCTGTGATGCCCCCTTGACCTCTTTCATCCTCTCCCTGCAGGGCCCTTGGTTCTCCTTGCTCGTCTCGCCACACGTTCTCCTGGACAGCCTTGGCCACCCATGGCCTTGGTTGCCAGGATTGTACTCCTGAACCCCAGCCTCTGGCTCTTCCCGGGCCCTAGACCTTGGACCACCAGCCCCCACCCTGGCTCCTCCCTGTGGGTGCTCTGCAGACACTCAGACTGAGTATGGACGAGGCTCCACCCAATGTCACCCAAGGCAGAAGCAGCTGGCATCCCTGACACCTCCCACTCACGCCTGGACTAACCCCAGGGGCTGTAGAACATCCCTCCTAATTCGCTCTCAACCCAGTTAGTTCCCTCCACTTTCACCTCCATAACCCGGGTCCCCCACTCAGCCCTGCTTAGTTGTCACCAGGACCACCACACCCACCTCCTTCTCGATCTCCTTGTCCCCATCAGTCCAGCCTCCACGCGTGGGCCAGAGGAACCTTCTCACCCCAGGCCCACCACCTTTGCCCTTGCCCTGCCCCAGTGTCCATCCCACCCCAGGCACCTGTGTAGCCGTCTGGACAGTGGCACTGGAAGCCATTGGGCAGGTCCTGGCAGCGGCCTTTGTTGAGGCATGGCCGTGAGGCACACTCGTCCACATCCACGCCACATTCGTCCCCTGCAAGAGGGCCAGCTGGGTTCCCATCTGCACCCTCAGAACCAGACTAGAGCTGCAAGGGCCCATTTTAGAGCTATGGAGACTGAGGCCCAGTGAGAAGTGCTGAGTCCGGCAGGTGGCACAGATGTGGCAGGGCCAGGCCTCAAGCGGAACCTTGGCACCCCTCCCTGGGCACCCGGACTCTGGTGGACCCGCTTCCCTGGGAGAACTCACCCTCAAAGCCGGGCGGGCAGCGGCACAGGAAGCCAGCAGCACGGCGGAAGCTGAAGGCGCCGGGGAAGGTGGCCTGGCTGCCTCCGTACAGGGCCGGGTCTGAGCGCTGCAGGCACTGCCCCCCGTGCTGACAGGGGCTCGACGCGCACTCATCCTCATCCACCTCGCACTGCTGCCCGCTGTAGCCTGGGGGCACACGCGTGGGTGGCAGGTCACAAGGGGTCACAGGCGGCGCCCCTCCACGGCTGCCAGGCCACCCTGGGGCCAGGCTGGAACACAGCTCAGGATGATACTGAGGAGGGCGGGGTGCCCACGGCAGCCTTCATCGGTGCCGCGTGACTATCGTTACTGGTTCTACTGGGCATCTTGCAGGGGCCGCGGCTTCACCCTCCCGCTGCAGGCCTGGGAGCAGGTGCTGTGATGAGCCCTATTTTGCAGATCCCCGCAGACGTGGAGTTGGGAGAAGCTGCAGTCACATGCACGCGCAGGTGAGCCCCTGCGCACACCTGCCAGACGCGCGCACACGCACACACACGCACACACACGCACACACACACACACACACACACACACACACACACACACACACCTGGCCAGCAGAGGCAGCGGAAGCTCGCCAGACCCTCGAGGCAGGAGGCGTTGTTGGCGCAGGGCTCCGAGGCGCACTCCAGCACCTCCTGCTCGCAGCGCGCACCCTCGTAGCCCGTGTCCGCGCAGTTGCACTGGAACCTGGAGCAGGGCGCGGGGCCAGCTGAGCACACCGGAGCCCCCCCGCCCCGCCTCCACCGGCCCCCCCTTCCCCACGTCGGGGCCGCGGTCCCCCGCTCACCCGTTGACCAGGTCGTGGCACTCGCCCCCGTGCGCGCAGGGCCGGCTCTGGCACTCGTCCAGGTCCAGCTGGCAGCTGGCGCCCCCGTAGCCCGGTGCGCACACACAGCGGTAGGAGCCCACGCCGTCCAGGCACGAGCCCCCGTGCAGGCAGGGCGACGAGGCACACTCGTCCACCTCCACCTCGCAGGTCACCCCTACACAGGGCCGGAGACACAGACAGATGGACACCCAGAGGGAGGCCGAACGAGGTCCGGGCAGGCAGACTCGAAACCAGCTCCGGACAGTTACAAGGGGCGGAAACTTAAGATCCAGAGAGAAGCCATTGGTCCCCTGGTCCACAGCAGGTATTTCTTGAGCCGGCAAGGGCAATGGGGTGGACACAGGACAACCGACCCTGCCTCCCTGAGCTCACAGCAGTGTAGCTGGAGACCAGGATTAGGTCAGTATTACCTAGATGCGAACTGATTTTTAATGGTTATAAGCTCTGCAATGGGAGCATCCTGGATCCCCTAAAAGCAACACCCGGAGTTCTGGCCTGGGGAATTGGAGTCAGGGAAGGCTTCTTGTAAGGCGAGACTTTTGAGAGGTGAGTAGGCATTTCCTAGATTGGGATGGGGCTGTGCCAGCACTTGGACTCCAGACGCGGGAACCGGTCCAGAGTAGCATGGGGGCAGGGGCGTGATGCTCTCAGAAAGGGGAACATGGAGAGTCAGATTCAAAGGAGAGGGCAGAGGAGGTGAGGCAGGGGTGGGGGTTGTAGGGGCTTCGGGACCCCATTCTGGGCTTATCCTAAAAGTTGGAAGCAGCTGAGTTACAGGATTCTGTCTACACCGTGGAAGCCTCACTCTGCCGGCTTTGAAAAAAATGTAGAGGCACTCCATGGGGGGAGGGGGGCACCCCGGCAAGAAATGCTGGAGTAACCAACTCCTCCTGGTTCCCCTGCACCGTGTTGCTTCTAAAACTACAACTCCTGAGTCTGGGAAGCCCCTCAGGCCTGGGCAAAACTGAGACAACCAGCAGCCCACAGGGGAGGAGATGTGTAGAGATGAAGGGAGACGGAGAATCTCGGGTTTGGGGATGTACTGCCTGAGTTCCCCCCAGGGGGCCACATGTCACAGTGGACTCCAGAGGCCCTGCCTCTGCGCCCTATGTGGGGTCGGTCCTGGGGGGCTAGGGACCCAACTGGCTCCAGCTGGAAACCTCCCCCCTTCCCAGCTCAGTGAGCACAAAAAACAGCCCCTCCTTCCTGTGACCCCTGGCTCCTCCCGCCCCAGTCCCACTCCCACCTTCTGTGCCAGGGAGAGCCAGGCCCTGGCCACCTGGAATCCCAACCTCCCTCGCCTGGCTCTGAATGGAAGGAGGAAAGAAATGAGTCACGGCAGACTCTGCCCCCACTCACATCCGCAACTCACCCAGAAAGTGTTACCCAAAGCGTCCAAGCACATCTGGCACGCACACACCTGCCAGCAGTCACACACCTACGTTTCCCACAAATGCATTCAGGAGCCCAGACACCCGCAGATCACACAGAGGCCCTTTGCATGATCTCCCTCACCCGTGCACAGCTAATATGCCAGACACCAGGACTCTCGAATAGTGAGAAAGATACGTGGGACCTGTTTCCAGTCTGTTTCAAAGTGCCACGATCCATATCTTCACTGTAAGCTTCCTCCCCGGGGACCCAGCCCCCACAATGTGTACCCCTTGCTCTGAGATGACCCCAAACTGCCTTCTGCCCTCAGAGCAGAGTTGTCGGAATTCAGGGTTGAAACAACCAGGAGTGTCTATACTGCACGCTCCCCCACTGCCCTGAACCTAGCCTCTCCCAGACCTGTGCCCAGCTGCCCCCGCTTCCTGGCTTCTAGACAAGGGCTCCAGGATGCTCCTGATTAAAGTGTGGATGGGACTGGGACAAGGCCATACTCTAGAGAAAATCAGCGTGTACTCATGCCAGTCCCTTCTCTGAGTCCTTGAATACGCTGTATAGACATTATCTGCCCACTTGAGACAGCAGAGATCCTTGGGATACGTTCATGTTTGAACAAGACCACCAGTGTCTCTATGCTGGAGCTTTAGGGGCCATCCAGAGGAGAAGAGTGTCTACACGATAACCTGAACCATACCAGGAGTGTCCATACTTTAGAACCATCAGATGAGCCAGATGGTGTCTACACAACAGCCTGACACAGCTCTGGAGTGAGTTGATGCTAGAAATACCGTCTAGACTTGTCCTCATTAAAGCCAAACCAGGCATACCTGCACTCTGGTTCCCCCAGAGATGCCTGGGGGTGTTTCCACCCCCCAGTGCTAAACTGAACTGAAATAACCTTTGTCCAGTGTCTGTTAAATGTCAGGCACCAGGCACCCTCACATGTTCCTACTGTCATCCAGAGCTGCCAGGTTAGCTTGAGGAGCATCAATTCTGTAGCGAGCCCCAGAGCAGGAAGTCAAAGCTGAATGCATGATTTTATACCCTGAGCCACTGACAGGATGGACAATACAGACCTCCTCCTGGGAGGGGAAGTGATTACCCGCATAGCCAAGGGGACAGCGGCACTCATAGCGATCAGCCAGGTTGTGGCAGGTGGCCCCGTGGTGGCAGGGCCGGGATGCACACTCGTCGATGTCCAGCTCACAGCGTGGGCCCTGGAAGCCTGGCACGCAGTAACAGCGAAAGCCACTGGGTTCTGGACCCTGGGGCACACACAGAGCACCGTGGTGGCATGGTTGGGTGGCACAGCCACGGAGCTCCGTGGGCTCACAGGTGTAGCTGCCGTTCTCTAGAGCCTGGCACTCGGTCCCTGGCATGCACGGGTCCGAGGCACAGACACCTGGGGTCTCCGAAGGCATTGTTCCTGCAAAGAGAGAAAACTGGCTGGGCAGGGTGGACCAGGATGACCCCCTCCCCACAGTCAGGCCCACCTCAGACCCCAGAGCCAGGCAGTCTGTATTCAGGACAGAGGGGGGACCAGGGGCTCCACAAGCCGTGTCCCCCCAGGCCATGCACAGCTATAGCGGAACTGAGATGGGTTCAGGAGGGTCTCCACGGCAGAGAAATGGGCCCCTGAGGCTTGCCCTCCCCGCCCCCCTCTGCCGCCTCCCTTTGCCCTCCCTCCCCTCACCACTACCCCCACCATGTCCCAGCCAGATTAGAGGGTGGACACTGACCCTGGAGGCTTTGCGCTTTGCCTGAGGTCTCCAGGCAAGTTAGTACCAGGACAGCCTCCAAGCCTGTCGCCCAGGGAGGGGGGTCTCCTCTGGGTCTCCCCTTCTGTGGCTCCATTTCCTCCCCAAGGGAGCTCCTCCCACTGTCCCCTCCACCTCTCCTGCCAGGGATCTGGCAGCTCCTTCCCTGTGAAACCGGAGATGATAGACTTCAAAGGCAGGGACCCTGAGCTGGGCCCCCCTCCCTGTCCTTCCTTCATGCCCTATGCCCCACGCCTTGGGCCTAGAAACCTCTCTGAATCCCTGGCCCTCACTGTATCGCCCCCCCCTTAGCAATTGCCTAAGCAGCTGGCCTGGCCAAGGTCACAGGGTACAGGGCAGGTGTTGAGACCTGCTGACTCACACCTGGCTGCCTCCACTGCATTAGAGGGTCACCTGCTATTCTGGAAGCCAAGACACTGGGAGAGCCAGCCCCTACCCTCCTGAAAGCCTGTAGTCCTGGCCTTAAAGTAAAACTGCACTGGGTTCAGATCCCAGCTCAATTACTAGCTCTGAGACTCTGAGCAAGTCATTTCTCCTACTGAACTTCTGTCTCCAGCCAGAAAGGGGATGAGAAGAGGGCACGCCTCACAGCACGTGGGAGGATTCAAAGCCTCAGGCATTGCAGATGCCCACTTGTAGGAACTCAGGAACTCGGTGAGGGATGGGGGAGGGGAACCAGCCACGAGCAGGAGGCACCCCCCACCTGGGGCTCTGGGAGGCATCCCTCCCTGGCCCAGGTTGTCATCCAGACACTAACCAGGCCCAGCACCTCCCTTCCCCCAGCTTAGTGAAGACCCCCCAGATAAGGCTCAGCAGCCTCTCAAACGTCATCCGCATTCCACCAGGCAGGGCTGTCCACGGGCCGACCCCCACCCATCCCCGCTGGGGCCCAGTAGGACGGGGGACAGGGATATAGAGACACAGAGTGGGGCACCAGGGGGAGAACCTGGCTGTCAGGCCCACCCCTGAGTACCCAGAGCACCTGACAACTCAGCATGAGCTCTCTAACTCCCCAACTGGGGCCTGGGGCCCACCCAGGGCTCAGCATGTTGCAAGGGGGCAGAGACTCTGAGCCACTTTCAGGCCAAGAGTACCCCGGAGGGCTCTAGTGTCCATGGCCCCTCCCTCTCTGACCACTGTCTGCTCCAACTCAGGGCATCCAGCCCCAGCCCCCTCTCCCAAGCCTGGTGATAGAGGTAAGGGCCAGGCATCTGGGCCTCTCTGACGGGCTTCTGGGCAGCTAGTCTTTCTTTTTCCCACCACAGCCACTGTGGCTGATCAGTTTAGAGCAATGTACTTTAGGGCTAGATGGCCAGATGAGGGTGGGCAGATAGTCTGATGGAGGTGGGAAGGTGGCCTGATGGGGTGGGAGTGGATCGAGCTCCCTTGGGAAAGGACACAAACCTGGCTTCTGGGGTTTGAATAGTGCCACCTCGTGGGGTATTGGGAGGTGCCACTGAGATGACATGAGTGAAGCCCTGGCACCCAGTGAGCCTTCATGAAGGGCTGTGGCTATTTTGATCTCGGTCAAGACCAGGAGACAGTAACCAGAGCTCCGGGTCCAAGGGGCCCTGGCTGCCGGGTCCGGTACCAACAGGCCCTCATTTATTTATTTTTTCTTAAAGAATTTATTTATTTATTCATGAGAGACAGAGAGAGAGAGAGGCAGAGACACAGGCAGAGGGAGAAGCAGGCTCCATGTAGGGAGCCTGATGTGGGACTCGATCCCGGGACTCTAGGATCACACCCTGGGCCAGAGGTAGGCCCTAAACTGCTGAGCCACCCAGGGATCCCCCTACAGGCCCTCATTTAATGCCAGCAAGGCACTGCTCCTCATCTGTGGGGCCTAAGGAGACCCTCCCAATCTGAGGCTTTGCCCCCAGTGCACAGCAGATGGACCAGGCTGGAGAGACGTGTGCAGGGGGAAGGGGCCAGGTGCTGCATCGCCAGGGGAGCAGGTGACCCTACATGACGGTGCCCCAGGAGACAGAATCCACCCACAGGGGAGGAAGGAGCTCCTCGGGGTCAGAGGCAGGCAGAGAAGGAGGGAGCTGCCTATCCCACAAGGTGTGCAGTAGCTCCAAAAGCCTGCATGTGAGAGGCAACCGTCTTTCTTGTGTATTCCTGATTGATCTTCACGTTTCCCTTAGGAGATGAGTGATCCTGCTATTCTCATTCTACAGCTGAGGGGAGTGGGGCTCAGCGATGACAGGACTTCACTGTCCCACAGCCTGTGAGGGGCTGTAATCCAAACTCAGGTGTCCCTACCCCAGAGCCTTCACTCTCAAGGTTCCAAAACCTCTGCCTTGCCTTAAGAATATTTCTGGGGCACCTGGGTGGCTCAGTCAGTTGAGCATCTGCCTTCAGCTCAGGTCATAATCCCAGGGTCCTAGGATGGAGCCCTTCATCTGGCTTCCTACTTAGTGGAGAGCCTGTTTCTCCCTCTCCCTCTGCCTCTCCCCAGCGCTCAATTTCTCTCTCTCAAATGTGTAAATAAGATCTTTTTTAAAAAGTACTTAAAAAATAGATTTCTGCTTGGATGGCATAATCGGTTGAGCCTCCAATTCGTGGTTTCAGCTCAGGTCATAATCTCAGAGTTGTAAGATCGAGCCCATTGTCAGGCTCCAGGCAGAGGGAGTCTGCCAAGACTCTCCCCCTCCCGTCCCCTCTAAAATAAATAAATAAATCCTTAAAAAAAAAAAGTTGTGGGGGAGGGGGCAGGGCGGGGCACCTGGGTGGCCCAGTTGGTTAAGTGGCTGCCTTTGGCTCAGGTCATGATCCATGGTCCCGGGACCAAGTCCTGAGGGTCGAGAGTCTGGGCTCCCTGCTCCACAGGGAGTCTGCTTCACCCTCTTCTCCTCATCCCCGTTGTGCACTCTCTTTTTTGCAAATAAATAAAATCTAAGAAAGAAAGAGAGAAAGATGGAGAAAGAAAGAAAGAAAAGAAAGAGAGAGAAAGGAAAGAAGAAAGAAAGAAAGAAAGAAAGAAAGAAAGAAAGAAAGAAAGAAAAGAAAAGAAAGAGAAAGGAAAGAAGAAAGAAAGAAAGAAAAGAAAGAGAGAGAAAGGAAAGAAGAAAAAGAAGAAAGAAAGAAGAAAGAAAGAAAAGAAAAGAAAGAGAAAGGAAAGAAGAAAGAAAGAAAGAAAGAAAGAAAGAAAGAAAGAAAGAAAAGAAAGAGAGAGAAAGGAAAGAAGAAAAAGAAGAAAGAAAGAAAGAAAGAAAGAAAGAAAGAAAGAAAGAAAGAAAGAAAAGAAAAGAAAGAGAAAGGAAAGAAGAAAGAAAGAAAAGAGAGAGAAAGGAAAGAAGAAAGAAAAAGAGAAAGAAAGAAAGAAGAAAGAAAGAAAGAAAGAAAGAAAGAAAGAAAGAAGAAAGAAAGAAAGAAAGAAAGAAAGAAAGAAAGAAAGAAAGAAAGAAAGAAAGAAAGAAAAGGAAAAGGAAAGAGAAAAACAGATTCCCGGCAGTCCACTGCAGCCCTAGGGATTTCGAGCCGCCAGCCCGGGTCCCCAGGGCCTGCACCGCAGCCTGCTTCCGGGAGGCTTTGCACTTTGAGGCTCGGGAGCTGCAGACCCCAGTCGGCGGCCTCGCAGGGGGTGAGGCCAAGAGGCCCCGCCCGCCCTGGGCTGAGAGGCCGAGAGGTGAGGGCAGGGCCGGGCCACGGGGGGCGGGCCTTGGGCCCGGCTGGGGGCGTGGCCTGTTGCCAGGGCGACGAGGGGCCTTGCTTATCTTTACAAATCCCTCCTGACCTCTCAGGCTGCCTGGGACGACCCGGCGCGGGGAGGGATGACACTCGGCGCGGGGAGGGATGACACTCGGCCCTCCCCTTCGACCTGCCACCCGGTCCCTGAGGAAGGCCCAGACCCCACTGCCAGGAAGGGAATTCTCTCCCCAGAGAGAACGATGATCATATTAGACTAGTAACCATTTACTGAGCGAGTACTACGTGCTCCAGGCTGCGCTCGCTACACGTCTTGCATCTCTCATTACACATTTCGTTTGATTTAAATCAGGAAAGGTGAGTGCTGTTGAGAAAACTTCAGTGTTCTAACTCAGAGAGGTTATAAACTTGCCCCAAATCATCCTTCCAAAAACTAAGAAGCAAATTATCTCCAGACTTCTGAAAGGTCCATATCTCCCAAAACATGTGAAATTCCCACTGCTCAAACTCTAAATGGCCACCTATGTATTGTCATTTTTAGCACTTTCCAGCCCAGCCTCTCCAGCCCCAGCACTGGAAAAAGTCTCTAAAGGTTGGCACAAGGGTGGAGGTTCCAGGATGGGCCTGGGCAGGAAGGTCAGTCCTCCCTCTTTAACCAGAACCAGTCTATTAGCAATCCCATTGTGCTTCAGGCCTCACTCAGTGCCTAGCAACTCCTGCTTTATGCACACTTATAACAGGCCTCATGCTATCTGCTAACAACCGATGGGAAGAGTTTACCTAGGGCATATTTGGAGAAGCTTCTTGTTGATACGGCAAGAAAGAGGATATTTCTGAGAAGCAGCCCAAGATCTTGTGAGATGTGGGCGCTTCTAACCTGGGGACAAACACTGTTCATCTAATATCACGAGGCCCCCGAGGACAGGACTGAATAACAACAGTATGGTGGAGTACAGACACTGCCTCAGAGCCACCAGGAAAGGTCTAGGTTACTCTAACAAGACAGGAAAGTTTGGAATACTCTTTCATAAAAACGTGTGCATCCCGGGGCTAAAGGGGGGTGAATATTTATAACTTTGGTAACAACAGTGGCAATAATGGCAGTCACAATTCACCTCGCACCCCACTCCTGGCACTGGCATATCCCAGTGTTCTCATGCCTTGGTCTCAGAGCCCAAAGCCAGAGACACTTCCCAGGGTGAGGGGAAGACCTGGTGAGGCTCTGGCCCCCCAAACAGACCACTTCTATTCGTGAGTGGTCTCCTGTCTAGAATGTCCTTGGAAACTGGGGCTTCCATGCCAAAACTAAGTTGGAGAAGCACTGTGTTTTCTCATCAGATTCTTGTGACGATCCTGAGAGTTAGCTGGTTGGTCCCTGAAGGGGCAGAGGCACAGTGACAGACATGGCTTTCCCTAGGCTAGCACTGAAAACACTAGCTTGGCGACTCTGGGCAAGTGACTGACCCTCTCTGGGCCTTATTTCCTCCTCTGTAAACTGGGATTATTAGAGCCAACCTCACAGGGTAGGGGTGAGATTCACAGTCCATTATGTGGGGTGCCAGGCTGGCTCAGTGGTAGAGCACGCAACACTCGTTCTCAGGGCTGTGAGTTCAAGCCCCATGTACTTAAAAATAATTTTTTTTTAAAAAAAAAGTTATTTATTCATGAGAGACACAGAGAGAGGCAGAGACACAGGCAGAGGGAGAAGCAGGCTCCCCACAGGGAGCCTGATGCGGGACTCCATCTCAGGACCCCAGGATCACACCCTGAGCCAAAGGCAGATGCTCAACCACTGAGCCACCCAGGTGCCCCCAAAAGGAAAATCTTTAAAGGGAGCCTGGCTGGCTCAGTCGGTAGAGCATGCAACTCTTGATCTCAGGATTGTAAATTCATGACCCATGTTGGGTGTAGAGATTACCTAAAAATGATAAATAAGTTTTAAAAATCTTTAGTAACAACAAAAACCCAAGTCCATCACGTTAGTCTGTTAGCCCAGCATTTTCCAGGGGTTGGCTGGTGGTGTTATTTGCTCATCGACCAACAAACGTTTACTTGGAGCAAATGCTGTCTGGCCAACCATGTTGATGCTTGTTCACATGTGTGTGGCTCCCGGTCCCTCCATGCCTCCTCTACCCCAAAACACCCCCCCTACCCCACCACCTCTGGTTGGAGGAGGGGCCAGACTTGGGGACTGGGCTGCTGCCCTTTGTCAGCCAGGCTCCCTGGGCGGCAGGCAGTCGGGCAGGATGTGAGAGCCTAACATGCCGCATTGTATTCCAAGATGCTTGGTCCTCTCCACAGCAACCAGCCAGGCTTTTGTGGCAGAGCAAGCCCAGGACAGAGGGGCTCAGCTCAGGGCCTGGCAGGCATGAGCAGCAGAGCCAGGGGCCCAGGGCTTCCAGAAACCCCATCCCCTCTGGGATGCAAATTACTTTTCAAGTGACACAGTCCCCAGCCTCTCCCCTCCTAGCACTCAGGCCTTTGGTGCTAGAATCCAGAAATGCTCATGCCCACAGTGCCCTCACCACAGCTTTTGAGGATCCTCATGGAGGGGGCTCCCCACACAGAAATCCTAGTGGGAAAGGCTGCCCCTGGGCACCCCAGCGGGGTTGTATGGGGGTGACCGTGGACAGCAGCAGCTACTTTTTCTGTGGTATCCATCTCCTTTGTGTTCCCTCTGCCTCAAGGTTCACATGAACGTACATTTGAGTGTGAATGCACATGTCGATATACACACACACACTGGTATGTGCAGGCACCCATCACGTACCTGTAGGGGTGTGTGTGTGTGTGTGTGTGTGTGTGTGTGTGTGTGTGTATGTGTGTGTGTGTATGTGTGTGAATGCATGTGTACTGGCTCTGCATGTGCTTGTGGACACCTGCTCATGTGGTGGGGTGCATTCCACACCAGTGTGCCGGTGTGTGTGTGTGTGCGTGCACATGTGTGATCTGTGTGTGCACATATGCATGTATTTGTGGCTTTCTGTGTACACTTTTGTCATTTTTGTGTGTATACATGAGGGTATGAGTGTGTACATTGTAGGGCAGGGGGCACATACCAGATCCACAGACCAGATCCAGATCCTCATGCCCCAGATGTGCAGAGAGCAGAGAGCAGGCCCTCGGCTCCTCTCAGGAGCTCCAGCTTTGCCTCAGGAACCCAGCTCAGAAGCCCCCATCCCTGCCAGAGCTTCAGTGTCCTCCACTACAAAATGGGGTTCTCAACCTCCCCAGAGCCCTCCAGGGAGGAGGAGACCAAGGCTTTGTGAGCCAAGCCCCATGAATGGGGAGGAGGGCCCCAGGTAGGACCTAGGAGGTTTGACCTCCCACCCTGGGAGTTAGAGGGGTGGGTTCCCCCCAAACCTCCAGCATGCTGTGAAGTCCAGGCCACCAGCCCTGGTTGACTCCCTCCTCCAGCAGTGGAGGCGGGGTCAGGGGACTTCCCAGGCCTGGCCCCGTAGCTATAGTGACCAAGACAAAGCATCCCCCAGACCCCCCAGGAAGAAGTCCAGGCGGCGCACACACGTGAATCCTCTTGGACAAAAGCAAAACTGTTCAGGCGGATGGGGTCTGGCTTCAGGAAGCCTTTTTAGCTTGGTCTGGGAGTGTTGGGGAGGGGGTAGCAGTGGACACACATGCTCCCAAGTGCCTGGCCACCCCTTGGGGCCCCAGAGCACCCCCAGGCTCCCAGGGCGGGCAAGGTAACACCCAAGTGGAGAGGATACTGGCAGGTCCCTGGCTACCCTGGTCTCCTTCCCTCTCTCCAGCACAATCCACTGGGCGGGGTGTGCTGCCCCCACCCCACATGAGCTAAGATACAGTCCAACCCACTTGACAACTTATATCCCACAACTTGGGCTAAGACACAGCCCGCCACACCCAGAAAGCCTCAGACACAACTGGAGGCTCACCCGGGACAGCTCACAGCTTTAACATACCCACAGCCAGCACACACTCACAACCTGGGGTGAGGCTCACACTACCTGCAACTCCCCACGCTCAGGCCTCAGCCTGGGACTTCCCAGCCCCAGCACCCCTCCCTCGATCCTTTCACAAAGGCCCCCAGGCCTCACAGCAGCCCCCGAGGCCCAGGACACACTCCCCTCTGCCCGAGGTGGCCAGCAGCAGTGCACCCTTCTGCACCCATACCTGGGCCTGCGCCCAGCCCCGCAGTCAGGCCTGGCACCCACCTAGACAGCCCCAGGGCCCAGGGTATCCACCCAGGGAGACAGACCCTGCCCCGGTCCCCCATCCCCCAAGGCCTGTGACCCCGACTCACCACCCAGGAGGGTGAGGGCAGGAGCCAAGAGCAGCAGCAACAGCAGGAGAGCGGCCAGGGGCCTGGACGCCGGGGCCCCAGGCCTGGCCAGCGCCATGGCAGTGCTCGCTGGGCTGTGGGAACAGGCGGCCCGGCTGGCTCGCACCCCCCTCTCCCTCCAACCAGCACTAATGCCGTGGACAGAGGCCCGGCCCCGCCCTCTCCCCCGCCTGCCTCCTCCCCCACCCAGGCCCTCCCAGGCTGCTCCACTGGGAACAGATCCTAGAGGAGGGGTCTGGCCCGCCCCGTCGCCCCAAGTCCCAGGGCAGCACATGGGCCCAGGGGCCCCTGCAGCTCTGACCTGCTCTGCGTACTCCCCCCACCCTCCCCCTCAGATCCTGCTGCCTCACCCTCCTGGTGGGGGAGGAGATGATGCCAGCTACTCCCAAGCCCTAGGTGATCCCACCCTGCTGGACACGCCCCCATCTCTTCTCAGCCTGGGCCCCCTCTCCAGCTCAGGCCCCGAGCAGCCGGCAGCCTCCCAGCAGCCTCTTCTCTGTACAGAAGCCCCAGCCCCTCCCACGTCGCTTGTCCCCTCCCAGTGCCCCCACCTGACCAAGGTACTCCCCCACTCTGCAGCCAAAGCCCCTCCCCGCCTCAGCCCAGCAGCTCCTGGTGGCTCTTCCTTCTCACTGCCTCTGAATCCCATCCCTCCCCTTGACCTACACAGACATACGGCCCCTCCCACCATGGCCCTCAGGATGAGGCCCCTGGCTCCCTCCACCCTCACCCCTCCCTAACCAGCCAAACAAAACCTTTTCCATTTCTCCCCTTTGGCCTAAATCTTAGCCTCTACCGTTTGCAGCTCAAACCTCAGTGGAAACCTCACTGCAATCCAAGGCAGCCCATTCTACTGAATGGCAGTTCCAATGGCTCCCCCGCTGGGAAGTCCTTCTTGTCTAACCTTACAGTTTCCTGCTGCACTTGATGTTTGCTTGCTGCAGGCTGGAAAAGGGATGTTGTTTGCATGGAGTGGGGGGGGTTCTTTGGGGGATCCGGACCCAGGAATCCAAGCCATCTCAAAGGCACTACAACATCAAAAAGCAGCCCATTCTTCCTTCCCTTGTCCTCAGCTCCAAGGCGGGGAGTGGGGGAGGAACCTCCTGCTGAAAGGACTTTCTGAACCTAGCCACCAGCTTCTGCCAATGCGCCCCATTTGGTTCCACTCAGTGACCGTGGACTCAGACCACCCAGAACCTGTGCTGGGTTCTGGGATGTGCCCTGACGCCCTGAGGGCACAGTCTGGAGCCCAGGCCCTAGCGTGATTGAGGGAGCTCTGGCTGTACCAGCTGGTCCCCGGAATAGCAGGGAGTCCGGCAGTGGGCATCACTGCATAGGTGGCCGACAGCTACGCGGGTCCTCCAACCCTGGCAAAGTGCTCAGCAAGGGAGCCAAGGACCTGGGGGGGGGGGGTGCTGCTCACATCCCCTGCCATCCCCACCCCAGAGTCTTGTTTCCTCCCTGTGGGCGGTGCTCCTAGGTGTCAGGACTCCAAACCACCTTTAATCCCTTGCCTGCCTCTCTCCTATACCAGGAGCTTCCACCAAGCCCCTCCCCACCCCGTGGGCAACACACAGGCCCCACAGCCAAGTAGATCCCGGTCTGAGCCCCGCTCTACCACTGATGGGCCGAGTGACCTCCGCGCGCGACTTCCTCCCCCGGCCTCAGTTTCCTCACCTGTAAAGTGGAAATAACAGTTCCAACCTCCTAAAGCTCAAATGAGCTGCCGCAGCAGTGCAGCTTCTGTCCATTCTGTGTCTCAGAGGGTCCCGAGAGGTCGGAGAAGCCCGGGGAGGACGGGGCGTGAGGACGGCAAGACGCCCCCCCCCCCCCCCGTCTCTGGACACACAGACACCCACGCGTTCACACCCAGCCTGAGGGCCTTGCTCCCACCCGCACCCCCGCCCGCGTCCTGCAGCCGCTGTGCACCACCTTGTGGCCAGACCCGGGACTGTCGGCGAGGCGGGGGGTGGGGGGCACCCTGGACCCTGGACTCGGAGGAGGCCTGAGAGCCCGGGTGGGCTGTAGGCGGAGGTTACACGGGGCGGGCCGTCCTGACACGCTCCCTGCGGGGGTCCGGAGACGAGACCGTGAGGGGGGCCAGCCCTCTGCGGAGCCCCTTTTTCCATCCTCCCCACTTGGGCGCCAGGTGCAAGGAAGGGGAAAAGGACCTTTTATCGTCCCCTGCACAGCACAGCAAGGTCAGAGTGGTGCCCGTTTTACAGATGAGGAAACGGAGGCTCGGGAGGTGACATTGGCTGTTGGGGTCCCTCAACCGGTGGGGCAGGGGTAGGATTCAAACATGGGGGTGCCTGCCACCACCCCTTTCCATTCCTTGAATCGTTGAGTTCAAGTGAAGTGTTAAGTGCGCTCCACTCTGCTCAGGAATTATTTGCTGACTTCTCCCTGGCCGGGGGTACCCACCATCTCTGACAGTACAGCTTCGTGCTGGGGAGCCCCAGCTTTGGCATCAGCCCCACCCTGTATGAATCCTGATTCTGGTCCCTGCCCTTAGGCAAGGCCTTGTTGGTCTGTTTCACTCTTCTGGACCCTCGTTTCCCCACCTGTAAGTTGAGATAACAGGACCTACCTCACAGTACCCTGGAGGTGGGCTCCTGCCACCAAGCAGGCACCTGTTGGGGGAGGGGATGTGTCCCAGGACTGCTCCCCACTGAGCAGATCTCCAGGATGGATGCCTCTGGACCTTCCAAGTGACATCTCCCCTGGATCCCCCCACCAGGGGCCTGCATCTCCCTTCTCAAGAGACTGTGTTGGTTCTTCTGTCTCCCACTCTCCACACAGACCCCTCCCTCCCTCTCCTCCTCTACCCCATCCAACCCCCAAGGACCTCCTTCCCTCAGGCTTCCAGGAAGTGGCCTGTGGAGGCAGAGAGGAGAGAGGGGGGGCCCGGGGCATTTCCTCCCCCTCTGTCTGCCTTTTGGGGCTGGGGCACTACCCACTACTGCTCTGACCAGAGGCCCCTCTGTTGCTTCAGCCTTCACCAGCTCAGGTAACTCTGTTCCCTCTGTGGCTAAGTGGGGCCACCTTCAGCCCTGACCTCCCCAATCTCCCAGAGGCCTCTCCTACTGTCCCCTACTCCGTCCTTCTTGGAGCTGTCTTCCCTGGCTTCCCTCCTACTTTCCTGGCTGTCCCTGGCTCTTTCCTTCCCAGTTGTCAGGGTACAACTGGGATCGCTCTCCAGTAAAAAAAAAAGGGGGGGGGGTTCTTTTATGTAGCACTTTGCTGCACAGGGTTATTATGAGGATTAAATAAGTAATTATTCATGAAGCATTTAGGACAGTGCCTGGCACATGTTAAGAGCTAAGCAAGTTCTGATTAAACCAATAAGGAAAGTAATTTAGAAGGATGTGTATTTCAAGTTGCAAATACTTTTATCAGCTGCACTAGAAGACATGATAAAATGACAAGACACTTGTGCCTATACATCGAGTCCCCTGAATGTGACAGCCACAAATGTGGACTAGTAAGGAGAATGTCAAGTTGGCAACTCAAATACCACAAGTAGTGTTGACATTAAATGTATAATTTTCTGAAATGGTGACAACTCTGGGTAAGGTTCTGAACAAGATAAAGAGCAGTATTCCTTCAATTTACATGGAAGCTGTATTTCTGGCAATTTCAGTGTATGTTGAAATTCAGAGCATTCATGCAAAAATGCTCTGTATTTATATTCAAGACTTGGGCTCTTGCTCAGACACAAACAGGTGTTTTTTTCCTCTACTTGGATGTCTGGTAGAACATTCCAGAGTCAATGGCATATGAGACATTATTTGCAGTATGGGTTGTTCTGTACATCACAGGCTGTCCAGGACCCCAGGCCCCACCACTAAATGTCAGCGGTGGCCCCCAGTCATCATGAAAATAGTATCCCTAGAAATCCCCCAAAAAAACCATCCAGGAGGCCCCTGGTTCTATACCAACTACCAGACTTTTCCAAATCCCAAATTGTGTCTTCTGCTCCTTGACTTCCAGTTACCCTCAGGCCAAGTTCAAATTCCTGAGCCTGATGTGGAAAGCCCTCATAATTGGGCTCCTTGCTTACCTTCCCACAACGTGGATCCCTATCATCAGTCCCCACCTTCTCCCCTACCCAAGACGCTCAGCTGCTCCATCTTGCCCCCACTCCCAACCAAACACACATAAACACACCAAGTTGTTCTTTGGCTGGCTAGTCTCGGCTCCCAGGATCTGCTCCCTGGAAAACCCACCACTCCTCCCTCCACCTGGTTGAAAGCTGTGCTGATAATCTTGTCAATCCTTTGGGACCTGGTTCTGGTGGCCCTGCCTCAGAACAGCCTTAGTCACCGCCAGGCTTGGTCAGGGCCTCTCCTGTGCTCCCACAGACCTGTGGGCTTCCCCAGTGACCTCAGCACTGACCACCACCCTGTTCTGGTTGCCAGTCTCATCTGAGGATGTCTGTACCATTCTAAAGAACATAGAGCAGGTGAGAGCCATTCCGCCTTTGGCCTTCAGAGGCTCACATCTTGTATCCATGTGCGCATGAACAATGCTGGGAGACACTTGCTCAGAGCCTGGTGGGAGCCCCCAGGACAGAGAGGCCAGCCGCCATAGGGCAGTTTCCCTGAGGAAGTGGAACCTTGGGATGTGGATAGTTTTCCAGGTAGAGAGGAGGCAAAGGCTTCCCTGGCTGAAGGTTCAGTGAGCAAAGGTCAGTTGTGAGAGAGGACAGACTGTGTCACTGTACCCTCAGGGACTGCAGGCAGGTGAGTGTGGCCTGAGGTCAGGATGTGGAGGGGCTGTGATCAGAGGGGAGCTGTTCTCTGCTGATGCACAAGGCCAAGGAGGTTGGGCTTTGCCCTGGGGGCACTGGGGAGTGCCCTGAAGTGGGATTGAAGCCCTGAAGCATGGGCATGACACTATTGGTTTGCTTGCTTGCGGCAGAGTTCCCTCTGAGAGGAGTGTGGAAGAGGCACTGCAGGAGGGCAAGAGTAGAAATAATCCAAGGAAAGATCACAAAGTCTAATTAGGACAAGGATGAGAGTAGAGAGAAGGGTGGGCATTGGTGTGGCTGAAACAACAGAGTTTGATGTCTGCTGGGACTGAGAAAGAGGG